ATATTATTTGTCTAAAGTTTTTATCACCATTGATTATGTAACCACCTATGACGTGTCAGCTTTTATTATTCTTAGTTATTTGTTGCTATATTAGAGAGTACATATTTCCTTATAAGTCATGGCTTTATCCAAGTCATCTAAGCCACTTTTTACTGTCTTCTACAGCTCCATAAGTTGCGCCATGGGTTTGTTTTGTCCATCCTCCAGTTGTTTTTTTTTTTTTTTAATAGTTGCATCTCCTAATCTCTTGCTTACGGGGTGACAAGCGTGCTGGGCCAATTCTTACACAAGAGTTGGGTTCATTTTTATCGTTCTCCTCTTCCTTGCCTTAGTGCTTTGTAGAACTATTCTGAGGTTATAATAATAATGGTTGGCCCTCATGTAACGAGGATGGCCGGCCATCGGGCCACCTAGGCGTGAATTTGTTTAAGGTGTAGACTGTAGAAGCTGTCGCCCACACAACAACCACACCCTGAGTTAACGAGTTGCATAACCCAGTGTCAAGGAATAGTCCGAGAAGACCGGACAACACACAACAAAACCAGCACTGTGCAATGTAACTCAGCCGCATCCACTTTATTATACGGTCCAGTGATGCATCTTACGACACCACCGCCCAAGGATCATTTCTGCTGACGACAATGATCAACTACAGTTTTGGTTTCAAGTCTACTACAGAAATACAGTGATGGTACAGGAGGTATGGTAGGCGACCTTTAAGCAGTGTTGGATGGTATATGGAGTTGATTATAATGGAAGTCACTCAAAACAAAATATATTTTCAAAATTGTGTTGAAAAAAAATGACAGCGAACGAAGGATTTTGACAACCCTACCGACACAACTGGAGTCGCAGTGTTCATTTTGAAATTCATTGACCACCCCAAGTAGAGAGAGTTTTTGAGTGACTAATTATGTCTTGGGATATGGCAGACACACAAAGATCACCTGATGATTAGACACCCTAATATATTTCACCTGAAGATTAGACCCACCAGTTTATTTCACCTGAAGATTAGACCCACCAGTTTATTTCACCTGAAGATTAGACCCACCAGTTTATTTCACCTGAAGATTAGACACACCAGTTTATTTCACCTGAAGATTAGACCCACCAGTTTATTTCACCTGAAGATTAGACCCACCAGTTTATTTCACCTGAAGATTAGACCCACCAGTTTATTTCACCTGAAGATTAGACCCACCAGTTTATTTCACCTGAAGATTAGACCCACCAGTTTATTTCACCTGAAGATTAGACACACCAGTTTATTTCACCTGAAGATTAGACCCACCAGTTTATTTCACCTGAAGATTAGACCCACCGGTTTATTTCACCTGAAGATTAGACCCACCAGTTTATTTCACCTGAAGATTAGACACACCGGTTTATTTCACCTGAAGATTAGACCCACCAGTTTATTTCACCTGAAGATTAGACCCACCAGTTTATTTACCTGACCAGATTATTTCACCTGAAGATTAGCAGTTTATTTCAGTTAACCTCACCTGAAGGAGCCACCAGTACAGTTATATTCACCTGACAGATTAGAAGATTAGACACACCAGATTATTTACTACATTCTGAGTAGATAAATTCAGTTACATTTCACCTGAAGATGACCCACCAGTTTATTTCTTACCTGAAGATTAGACCACACCAGTTTATTTCTACCTGAAGATTAGACACACCGTTTATTTCACCTGAAGATGGAACAGTTTATTTAAAGATTAGACCCACCAGTTTATTTCACCTGAAGATTAGACACACCAGTTTATTTCACCTGAAGATTAGACACACCAGTTTATTTCACCTGAAGATTAGACACACCGGTTTATTTCACCTGAAGATTAGACCCACCAGTTTATTTCACCTGAAGATTAGACCCACCAGTTTATTTCACCTGAAGATTAGACCCACCAGTTTATTTCACCTGAAGATTAGACCCACCAGTTTATTTCACCTGAAGATTAGACACACCGGTTTATTTCACCTGAAGATTAGACCCACCAGTTTATTTCACCTGAAGATTAGACCCACCGGTTTATTTCACCTGAAGATTAGACCCACCAGTTTATTTCACCTGAAGATTAGACACACCGGTTTATTTCACCTGAAGATTAGACCCACCAGTTTATTTCACCTGAAGATTAGACCCACCAGTTTATTTAGCCTGGATTAATCATTCCACATACCTACGTCACGCTTCCGTCATACACATTCATACTAAAACACAAACATGTTTTTAATGCTTTAAGAATAGGAAAGAATAGGAAAAAAACGGGTCCTGAGAAAGATGGGAATAAGTGGCATCGTTGTGTTGCCATACTGCGGTTGGTCAATATAGTTAACTAGGAAAGTTTTGGGTAGGACATCATGTGACATAAACTGATGAAAAGATATTTTCCTAACTCAAGAAACATTTTATTTTATTAACCTTACCTTCTGCCGCTTGCATACACTTAACACGCCATTAATTAATCTTTCACTACCACACTACTACTACAGGTTCATCACCACCACAACAGGATCATCACCACCATCACCACGACAGATTAATCAGTCACCACCATCACTACATCGCATTGATTTCACTATATACCATTAGTTTATCCGTATTTAAATTTTATTCCGTTTACGTTGTACTTTTCGTTATTTAGTGACTTGTTTCATATATAATCGTATACTATGAGGTGACACAACCACATCTTGACTTAAATATGTGTCCGTTTATAAGTATGTCATTATTTATATTTTAAGCTAAATACATATGGTAATATTTTATATACTGGGATACAACATATTAATAACTTTTATTATACGTCAGCCAACGAAACATTGTAAGATATCTCGCTCATTGTACTCGTCTCATAGCATTGTCTATATTACACTAATTAAATAATTCAGCCAATCAGAACCGTTCTAGACCAATATGGATACCCGTTGTCTACGTACACTGACAGGGAGAAAGTAGCCTACACCTCACCCAGCTGTAACTTTCCTCATGCAGTGGGAAAAATGAATTTCACACCACACATCCAACACTGAGAGGTAAATTGACTGTTGTTTGTCTACTCATGTAACTGAGCCAAGGACCTCTGACACATAGCTTCTATTTCCACTGTCTAAAATACTTCTACGTCTTGTCTCTGTCTGCATAATTCAGACAGGCAGTCACTTTTACTCAGCTTAATCCAAATGATGAGTAAGTAAAATTTGTCACTGATCAGTTGTTGTCTTGTCCTTCGAAACAGAGAAGCTGCTAAGTAAGGAGATGTCTGGCAACACAAAGAGAGCCGCGCCAAGGCTCCCTGGTTGGTCTACCTGGGGAAGTGAGGGCCCCAAGGAACAGTTGCTGGCTGCGCGTCTTCAGTGGCGGTACAAGTATCTGCTGAGCTGGGTATCACTACCTCTGGTACGTCAAAGTTACTGGTTCTCTTTATATTTACATTATTAAACAAATTAATGTGTATTAGTAATAATTCAATGTGTTCTATAAGATTTAATTGTGGTGGCGATTGTTAATGCAAAAACTTGTTGGAATATATCCTGCTAAGGGCTGAAGGTAGGGGGGGGGGCGGCACGATACTATAACTTCGGCTAACAAACTCAACATAGCAAGTAGCTGTAGAGACCTGGCTGGTTTACATTAGGTCCATATTGATGGTATTCACTTACACTGTAGATTGTATTATGCTTACAGTTGTGACTTATAGTCCGTGCTACGAATGGTGCACTACTGAATGTCTACCCGAACGTATCCTGATGTATACTGTACCCACACACCAAATGAAACTCAAGCATACTGACTATGAGCTGTGTCAATATTATTGTTTGTATTTTTACTGTTTCACATTTCTGCGGAATTCAAACATTTTGATAGTAAACTGTACCAATACGACTGTGTACATTTGCCCAGTCACCATAAGAAACGTTAACTACATATATAAAAACGGCAAAATTACAAAATATTACAGGGTTACAGTATTGTTTTTGTATGAAAGAATTGATAACAAAATTCAAAGTCATAAAAGTTATACCTTTAGACGATGATGTCGATTATTTGCCAACAGGGGGTGGACGTGCAGCGCGTAGTTTAAGCCACGTTTACCGGGAGATTATGGGACCAGAAGTGAACTTACTGTTTTACGGAAGCAAAAATTTCTCCCACGATTTTTATTTTGACGAAGAATTGGTACTGAAAAAAAATGAATAATAACAAACATACAGAAAAGTAGGATAAGTCCCCATATACAAATTAACACAAACCAAAGCAAAACATGAAGCTGAAGCGAAATAGAGAACTTAAAATATCTCGATAAACGTATATTATATTTGCCCCCGAGGGGGCTAGTGTATTGGGCACCCCCCCCCCCCTGTCATCCTGTGCAAGGTGAAGCGCAAAAGCGTTTACAGCGCCCATCTGGGAAGCATGTGTAGTTCATGCTTGCCTTCATAACTCATGCATTAAGGGCGTAAAAGCCTGAAGGGTCATGGGTTTTGTCAGCAAGTTACATATAGTGGCAGAATGATGAGTGTGTGGGGGGAAAATTACCAGCACATTTTATCTGTTTATGGCAAAGCGTGGCAGGTCCCTAATAATGTCAAGTGCCAGGCGTGTCTCTAGGAGGAGGGATATCTGGTCAGGGAGGAAAGAGGTGTTGGTAACAGGGTCATCAGTGGTTTGTAGGTAAGAAGGTCAGGAGTTACCCCGGAAGTTTGGGTTAGGGCCCCTGGGAGCAGAGACTGGGATGTCGAGCATTGAGGTCGTCCACAAGGAGGGTGGGGGTGTTGTGGTGGGACAGGTACAGTAGAGGTGGAGGGAGGCACATAGGCATGGACAATATTGAGGGACATACATTTTAGTGTGATTGTGATGGCGTGTACATAGGTAGTGTCGGCATCAAGGGGGACGTCGAGAGGTTGATAGGGGACATCCTTCTTGGCGTAGATACATAGTCCACGTACATGTCCTCATGGTGGTCCATAAACGTAATATGATGAAAAATACCGACAAAGGTGAAAGCTTCACCCAAAGATCATCACCATAAAAACACTACAAGTTGATCTGAATCTGTCCTACTTAATATATATACTTGTTGACAACCTAAAAGGGGAAACAAGGAGTGTATAGCTTCTGACCTGAGCCATAATTGGGTCTATAAATAATGCAACTAAGGTCACGTGGGGTCAGCGGACACAAACACGAAAGTTGACTCTTGACCCTTCTGGTTCACCACAAGCGGAGTCATGTTGATGTCATATGATAAACACACATGCACACACACACCCGCGGTTGGATATACTACAGAGGTTCTTCCGGTGAATATACAAAGTACATGGATATTCCTCATGCAAGGTCCTGATGTCTAAATATTCTTCATGAGGGGAATATTCGCCTGTAGGTATTTTGCATGTCTTGAATGACGAGGAATGATCATACGAGCCTTTGTGTATCTGGAGGCTATAATAACACTCCTTTAGTTACCGAGAACAGTGGTGGATCTAAACAGGAAGATGAGAAGCATGTGTCTGCATTAGTGATGGTTAGTAAAAATATATTGAAGTTTAAGTATTTATGAGGAATGATACGTGGATGTTGTACAGTACAGTTGACGGCCCTGACTGTAGGTGGCGGGTCAGGGAGGTGGGGGGGGGGGTGACGAGGGTCTGGATGGCTCGACGGTTTTTCCCCAGGATGAACAAGGTGCTTTACTCCTTAATATCTGCCTCAGGGCCTCAGGTTAAATATTATATACGTAACCGAACGTTAATTAAGAAATTATGATGATGTGTACGGAAGTGAGTTACATTTTAACAATTATTACAGTAGAGAGTATAAATGAAATTAAATAGATGGAATCCAACAAAATCACTTCTAGTTTACATCGCACTAACACTGTACGTATGACTTTGCTCTCAGCGTTTGTTTTTTTCATATAACTACACGTAGGTAAGTAGTATTCCTTCCAAGGTTATCCTCAGAAAAACTCGTTTGTGATTTGCCTCAGGGAGAGACAAGTGTTGCCTCTCTACCCAACTACACCCTCTTTCACCCTTGCTCCTAACCACCTCCGGAGCCTCCCGACGACCAAGAATTTCCTCTGTGTTTAAGGGCTGCGCTACACTGCATCAACATACCTCACACTGATCATCGACTAAGCTGGCTACTCTTAACGCAATATTTATGATGGGATGGAAGGTGGTGTCTCTATGGCTATCATGTTTAAGAGTAGCAGGAAACAGTCAGCCAGCTAAGGGTGACTAACACTGGGCAAGCAGGAACGAGGCGCTTTAGCTGACTACCCGACTATAACTATCATGATAATGATCTAAAGTTCTAAACGTTTCAAAATCAATATTATATAAGTTATTTACGTATCAGACTATAAAAAATGTAAAATGTATTAATATTGATGATCAGTGTAAATAAAATACAATAGTTCATCACAAAATCAAATACAACTGAAAATATAATACGGTAGCTGTCACAATTTACCTTTGATAACTTAAATGATGAATTATTGTCCCTATTTTGATTTAAGTATCTATGACGTTGCTGTTCTTGGGTTACTTATGTCATGAAGCACCCAGTAAATCATATCTTATTTAATCTATAATAGTTAGGAAAAGTTTTTTTTACAATTGGTAGAGGAAGTAATTTAATGAATATTTAATGGCCTTCCTTGGTCTTGTTTATCCTTGGATAAAAATAAGTAGTCGACTTGTTTCGGGGTGAGTGAGTCGTCACTACCTAATGATAGTTTTCCTTTTCCGTCAAGGACAAACCCAGGGGTGTCGTAAGTTTCCTGTTGTTGTGTGTGGGGGGGGGGGGGCTTACAGCTGTATATTATTCATGTATTGTTTACTTAGTATTGCACTGGTAATTCAAGTTAATAAATTAGGACTATTCTTCTTGGTCAAATAATTCTAATCAGCCTTTAGGTCAAGACAGCAGAGGAGCTGACATCTTGCTTCGGTCATTACTGCCAACCAAAGGTAACTCGTGTCAAGGTAGACTTAAGAAATATTCACAAATGTTACAATTAAAAATATGAAAAATGTTCTGTTGATCAAATCGTGGCAGCCTGTTTTATTACATTATTTGTGTACAGTAAAATATCATATGGTTTACTGTTGTTTACTGATCATAATTAGAGATAATAAATGGAAATAAAGCCTTAGGCACATTAAACTGTGCTGATTTTTTTTAATTGGGCACCCCCCCCCTACATCCTTGGGTAAGGTGAAGCACAGAAGCGTTTACAGCGCCCAACAGGGAAGCATGCTAAGTTCATGCTTGTCTTTATGTCTCATGAGTCAAGGGCGTAGAAGCCTGAAGAGTCAATGGTTTATGTCTAAGCAAGTTATTGGAAGCTCCAACAACTTGTCCCTGAATACGAATTCGCAACTTTCGATTTACACCAGGTACCTACTGTGCTGCTAGGTGAACAGGGATCAAGGGGACTAGGAAGAGTGTCCAAACAACTTTCCACCGGCCCGTTCTACCCACCGGCGCCCCCACTGTGTTGAATAAATAAAGAATTCAACTTTTGAGTATTTATTGCTGAAGGAAAAAATAATAAATACGAATATACACAACAATTTGTCATGAATTTACGTTAAGAAAACCAGAACTTTCAAAGAATAACATTATATCGTGACAATACAGGAGGATATATACCTCATGATGCACCAGAAGACTTAAGACCTGGCCACTTTTACTCTGATCAAAACAAACGATGATTAGTAGAGATACGGAAACTTAGTACAGAGCCAGAATAGGAAGCCTTCGTCAGGGTCTCGCTCTACGTGTTGTGTTTGCAAATTCTTGTTCGCCTTCTAGACGTGGTTTCTCGTTCCGCATACCTAATATACGCGCTTTGTTCGTTCTTCACTGATAGCAAACATTGCGCCTCACAGGAGTCACAAAAACTCTGTACATGTGGCATCGCTGCGGCAATAGTCATGGCAACCCAACTGGGGGTGAAGGGGGAATGGTGGAGTGTGGAGGTTGGTTGAGCAATGTCTATTTTTGGCTCAAGTTCAGTCGTATAATTATAAAGGTGTATTGTGGTAGCTCTCGACATGGATTGACAGTAATCACAACAGAACCTAATTCATGACTAAGAAATGTAAACTACAAGGAGTCATACAATGTTGTTCACAATCATATACGCATATCAATTGTCGCTCATCTTCACTACATGGACGGCTCACCCAAGTAGGTATTGTTGTTGCTGCTTACTGTTTAATTTTCAGTGTTAAGATTGTTGCTGTGGCGACCTGTGGTGTAATGGTCAGCAAGCTCGCCTCTCAAACAAGTGGACCAGGGTTCGATCCAAGGGCAGAGTGAAACTATTGGCAAATTTATTTAAGCCATTTGCCTCTGTCTACCCAGCAGTAATTTGGGGAACCTGAATGTTAATCAATTTGCTGATCGTGTTCTAGGGTAATGGTTAGCCAGTGCAGTTGGCGAGTTGTCCGGTCTTCTCGGACTATTCCTTGACACTGGGTCATGCAGCTCGTTAACTCAGGGTGTGGTTGTTGTGTTGGCGACAGCTTCTACACCTTAAACAAATTCACGCCTAGGTGGCCCTATGGCCGGCCATCCTCGTTACACGAGGGGCAACCATTACTATTACTTAATATCTGTATTTTTCTGACTAAACACGCGGTTTTCGGCTTCAATGTCAGTGTATGGGTTTAACAAGGCAAAGTACGGTACATCGGTTAAGGCTCTGTCAAGATATCGTCCGGATACTATACCTAAAAATGCCTCGGCTGTTAACTCAGAGAACGGCCAACAGATGGCTACGTCCACCTCACTCCCTGATGAATGGCGCCAAATACATAAAAGTTTCAACCTTCCTAATCTATTAAATGAATAAGTAAATATTAAGAGAAAATTATTAAATATTTTAGTTTTTAGTAATATTTTAAATATTAAGGTAATTATTGCAATTCCACATTATTTATACAGAATATTTTTTTTCAGGCACAATGAAGTGGCTTGGTGGCATTCTACTCCTGCTTGTGACTGTCAACGGCCAGTGTAAGTATTAACCGTCAGAGAATCAGAGGATCAACTTTTTTTATCATATTATATTTTAAAAGGTCATGATGTGGGGCCGGTGTTGAGAGGAGGGAAGTAAGTCAAGGCAGGTGTTGAGAGGAGGGAAGTAAGTCAGGGCAGGTGTTGAGGGGAGTGAAGTAAGTCAAGGCAGGTGTTGAGAGGAGGGAAGTAAGTCAAGGCAGGTGTTGAGGGGAGAGAAGTAAGTCAGGGCAGGTGTTGAGAGGAGGGAAGTAAGTCAAGGCAGGAGGGAAGTAAGTCAAGGCAGAATATTTGAGAGGAAAGTGTTGAGAGGAGGAAATAAGTCAAGGCAGGTGTTGGGAGGAGAAAGTAAGTCAAGGCAGGTGTTGAGAGGAGGGAAGTAGAGGAGAGAAGTCAAGGCAGGTGTTGAGGGGGAGAAGTAAGTCAGGGCAGGTGTTGAGAGGAGGAAGTCAAGGCAGGTGTTGAGGGAAGAGAAGCAGGTGAGAAATCAGGGCAGGTGTTGAGGGAGAGAAGTAAGTCAGGGCAGGTGTTGAGGAGAAGTAAGTCAAGGCAGGTGTTGAGGGAAGAAATAGTCAAGGCAGGTGTTGAGGGAGGGGTCAAGGCAGGTCGTGAGGAGGAGATAGAGATCAGGGCAGGTGTTGGGGAGGGGAAGTAAGTCAAGGCAGGTGCGGGAAGTAAGTCAGGGCAGGTGTTGGGGAGGGAAAGTAAGTCAAGGCAGGTGTTGAGGAAGGAAGTAATGGGCAGGTGTTGAGGAAAGGAGTCAAGGCAGGTGTTGAGGGGAGAAAGTAAGTCAGGGCAGGTGTTGAGGGAGAAGTAGGTCAAGGCAGGTGTTGAGGGAGGAAATAAGTCAGGGCAGGTGTTGAGGAGGAAGTAAGTCAAGGCAGGTGTTGAGGAGAGAAGTCCAGGGGGAGGGGAGGGGTAAGTCAGGGAAATTGAGGGGAGGGAAGGGAGTCAGGGCAGGTGTTGAGGGGAGGAAGTAAGCAAGGCAAGGTGTTGAGGAGGGAGTAAGTCAAGGCAGGTGTTGAAAGGGAGAGAAGGAAGTCAGGGCAGGTGTTGAGGGAGAAGTAAGTCAAGGCAGGTCAGGGCAGGTGTTGAGGGAGTAGGTCAAGGCAGGTGTTGAGGGAGGAAGTAAGTGGGGCAGGTGTTGAGGAGGAACAGTCAGGCAGGTGTTGGGGAGGAGTCAGGGCAGGTGTTGGGGAGGGAATGGAGTCAGGTATTGAGGGAGGAAGTAAGTCAGGCAGGTGTTGAGGGAGGAAGAAGTCAAGGCAGAGTGTTGAGGGGGAAGTAAGTCAAGGCAGGTGTTGAGGGAGGAAGTAAGTCAAGGCAGGTGTTGAGGAAGGGAAGTAAGTCAGGGGTGTTGAGGGAGGGAAGTAAGTCTCACTAATATTATTGTACTGAAACATATGGCTACACGCTTGAATTATGCTTTCTCCCTCACACTGGCTTCTCTCTCCTTCACACTGGTCTACTCTCTCCTTCACACTGGTCTACTCTCTCCCTCACACTGTTCTCCTATTCACACTGGCTCCACTCTCCTCCCTCACTGGGCTCTGTCTCTCTCCCTTCACACTGGCCATCTCTCTCCTCACACTGCTGCCATCTCTCCCTCACCTGCTTCACTCTCTCCCCTCACACTGGCTTGTCTCTCTCCCTCACAGCTATATCTCTCTCCCTCACACTAGCTGCCATCTCTCCCCTCACACTACCTCTCTCTCCTCACACTGGCTGCCATCTCTCTTCCTCACACTGGCTGCCATCTCTCCCCTCACACTGGCTGTCTCTCGCTTCCTGCTGGCTGCCATCTCTCTCCCTCACACTGGCTGCCATCTCACACACTGGCACCATCTCTCTCCATCACACTGGCTGCCACTCTCTCCTCACACTGGCTGCCATCTCTCTCTCACACTGGCTGCCATCTCTCTCCTCCACTGGCCGCCATCTCTCCATCACTGGCTGCCATCTCTCTCCATCACACTGGCTGCCATCTCTCCCTCACTGGCTGCCATCTCTCTTCCTCACACTGGCTGCCATCTCTCTCCTGCCCCACACTGGCTGCCATCTCTCTCTCCCTCACACTGGCTGCCATCTCTCTTCACACTGGCTGCCATCCTCCTCACACCGCCATCTCTCTCCACACACTGGCTGTCATCTCTCTCCCTCACACTGGCTGCCATCTCTCTCCCTCCACACTGGCTGCCATCTCTCTCCCTCACACTGGCTACCATCTCTCTCCCTCACACTGGCTGCCATCTCTCTTCCTCACACTGGGCTGCCATCTCTCTCCCTCACACTGGCTGCCATCTCTCTCCCTCACACTGGCTGCCATCTCTCTTCCTCACACTGGCTGCCATCTCTCTCCCTCACACTGGCTACCATCTCTCTTCCTCACACTGGCTGCCATCTCTCTCCCTCACACTGGCTGCCATCTCTCTCCCTCACACTAGCTGCCATCTCTCTCCCTCACACTAGCTGCCATCTCTCTCCCTCACACTAGCTGCCATCTCTCTCCCTCACACTAGCTGCCATCTCTCTCCCTCACTCTGTCTACCATCTCTCTTCCTCACAGTGTCCGACAACCAGACTGGGGAGGCTCTCAGTGGTCTGTTGGCGGAGAAAGTGGCTGAACGACAAAACTTCAACTTAGGTGGCGACGACTCCTGCTTCACTCCTGACAACGAGCCCGGTAGGTTCCTCCCTGAGTTAACACTGGGTGTTTTGGCGACGTAAATCTGGGTCTATATTGACTTGGTTTCGGAGCAGTGTGTTGTTGTCAGCGAGGTAAGATATCTTGGCCAGTCATGGGTGTTAGGATAGGTCTGGGTACAGTATGGTACGGTAGACAGGCTTGGAAAGATACTACAGCAAAGATCTAGTTAATGTAATCAAATATTTATGCAAAACATTGAACATGTGACGTCATACACCAAGTGGATCAGGTACAGAATATTCAGGACACAATCTGTACACAAAACCAGGAATAGCCAAAACTTCTTATAAGGCAGAGTGTTTGATGAAAGAAAAGCTTTTCTATGGCTACAACTATCAAACAAGCTGTCAGGGCCTGTGTGTTAATTCTGAAGTAAAGCGATCTTGTCAGTACTCAGGTACAGACCGGAAACAATGAGTCACCAAAACCGGAAAAAAGTAAGTTCCCCCACAACATACTGCACTCCTATTTATAACCCCTTTGTTTTAACCACCTTAAAACAGAATGAAAAGGCAAAATTAATAATAGCAAACAGATTTAAACCATAGGGTATCTTTTGTCGGGGATATTGATAATGAAAACTGCTTGTCTACTGACTCAACAGGAAAATTTTAATATATACAAGTGGGTTTCGTCAGCCTGGCTATTTCTTATTCGTACACAAAGAGGCAGTTCGGCCATGACTGCACCTGATCGCCTTACACTTCCCAAACTATAGTGTTGACAGATACCCATTCACACCTGGGTTAACTGGGATGGTCCTTGGCACGAACCCCGATAGGAAAGCAGGATCGCGCTGTATACACTCAGACCGCTACACCGTCTAGTGATCACGTTAAGTTTCTGATAAATTTGAAGTCTTCATTCTGGTGTACAGGCAATTCATCATAATTTCGTTGTGTTTTGATGTTTCTGGAATTCGTGGCTTTACACCTGAACTACTGTCTTTTTGTGAACCTATGTAACTTTTCTCTCTACTACAGGCAGATGTGGTCCTCTAACTGATTGCCCTGTATACCTGCCGCTAGCCAGACAACTCCAACAGCAAGACATCATCAACTTCTTCACCAGCCGCATATGCAGGTAACAGAACTTTCTCAAACAGATGGAGAGGCAGTGTGTTCATAAAAAAAATATGAGTCAAGCCATATGTTTATAAAAGGTATATTGGAACACAGCCTGATCCCATGGTAGAAGCGTTGCTGGTAGTCACATCTTTTTCACCAACATGTCCCATCAAACTAGTAACTAACCTGGGTGTTTTGTGTCCACCTCACCAGACTCTTATTTCGGACGGTGCACGTGTGCTGCCCAACAAACCCTAACCCCCTCATGCCTGGTGGGTCCATCCAGATTTCACCACGACCCACAACCTCCATCAATATTAACGATTGTGGGATCCCCTCCGGCGACAGGGTCATAGGAGGCACCGAAGTGGAATATGTATGTTTACTTGTAAATGTCTTGGTTAATGTTAAATTTATCATCATCATCATCATCATGTTATAATTTTCCTTGGAATTTACATGTCTAAACCTATTATGCTCCAACGGCCATTTAAACAAAAATTGGAATTTCTACCAAAGTAAATATAACAAACATTTTGAAGTCAGTAACAAGTAATTGAGATGCATGAACTATATGACTACAGTAGGTCAGCCACTAAACATGTAGTGGTAGTATGATGATGTCTTTTGTGTGTGTGTGTGTGTAGCCCGGGAAGTGGCCCTGGTTGGCAGCCCTGGGGATCCGTAGGTTCGGCAGGTTCATCCCCACGTGCGGCGGAACCCTCATCACATCCCGCCACGTCCTCAGCGCAGCTCACTGCTTCAAAGATAAGCAACAATCTCCGTAAGTCTTCTCTTACAGTTTGATCTATGCTTCCCCTAACTGAGGGTCTGGTTTGAGTATAATGTATGCTGCACTTTGCCTATAAATTATTACCTGTGACACTATAGTTACACAGATACTGTATTTAGTTGAAGTTATATTACACTCTGATCTCCTGGATGAGCGCAGCCTCAATTATCACTGGCACAGTGTCCTCAAGAAAATATTTAACGTCCATAAACTTGTTGCAGTCCTCCCCTACCCTATTGTGTGGCATAACTCCGAAACAATAGGATATTGACACTCAATTCATAAAGTCATTTACCCTTACGAGTCTCAAGAATACACCCCAGAATTATGACACGTATTTCCGGAACACCTTGTTTAGTATTTTGTGTGTGTTTGTATGTTCCTTATGAATTCCTAGTTTTGAAAATAAAGAGCTAATATCTGGTAGGGAGGTGCGGCTAGCCTGTGGGATGGTCTTGCACCATCTCCTGCCCCCACTCGGACGAAGCTGGATAATTCAGCTATTCCTTACTATTTATCGGTGTTTGTATACCTGCACTGTATATGTAAATGCTAAGTCAATGTGAACTTTATGACGCTTTTACTGAATAACGAACTACTGTATCTACCTATTATAATCAAGCAGACTTTAGTTACTTGTTACTTTGCAGGAATATCGTAAGGCTCGGGGAGCACAGCCTGAGCAAGACTGACGAAGGCGCAAACCCACAGGACTTCAGCATCGTTGAGCAGCGTAACAACGGCTACAACTCAAAGACCCAAGAGAACGACATCATAATTCTCGTCCTCGACCGAGAAGTCCAATTCTCTTGTTAGTGTTTGTTCTTATCTTACGTGTCTCAGGTCTTCAGTAGTTCTGCCAATGGCAACCTGTGGTGTAATGATCAGCATCCTTGCCTCACAAGCGAGAGGACCCGGGTAGGGTGAAACTATGGGCAAGTTTCTTTATGCCATTTGCCTCTGTCTACCCAGCAATAATTGGGGACCTGGATGTTAATCGACTTGCGGATCGTATGGCCAGTGCAGTTGGCGAGTTGTCCGGTCTTCTCGGACTATTCATAGACACTGGGTCATGCAACTCGTTAACTCAGAGTGTGGTTGTTGTGTTGGCGACAGTTTAAACATATTCACGCCTAGATGGCCCTTGGGCCGGCCATCCTCGTACAGGAGGAGCAACCATTATTTTATTAGTTCTGCCATGGTTTGTGTTGTTTTGATTAGTATACACAATATTTAGTTATGTGATTGCAGGTGTTACATTATCTAGTAGGTTATTTAGTACCTGTAGTGACGGTCGCCAGGTTCAGTGTGTCTACAGACCAATACAATAGTAAATAGTTCATCTAGGTTCTTTAAGTCATAACACAAGTAAATGTATCCGACACCTCACAGCCACTTACGGTAGCTTCCATCTCTTCCCCAGCACTCGTCGTACCAGCATGTCTGCCCTACAACGAAGTAAATAACGAATTCGAGGGCCAGAGCCTGACTGTTGTTGGCTGGGGAACTACCTGTGAGTATCCATCTTTACAGGAAAACTAAGACAGTGTTTTGTTGACGTATACTTTCCTATAAAGAACACTATAATCAATTACTTGTTTTCGACTGGGATTATAGAAAGACTCTCTCTCTCTCTCTCTCTCTCTCTCTCTCTCTCTGTTATTACTTAATCTGTCTCTTTACTTATTTACTATTTTGGTGTTCAATGTTAGTACTGTATGCCCATTACTTGTATACCGCCCTTCCCAACTCTCACTTAACCTAACCTTAATCTAACTTTGACCCTAACCTAACCTAACCTCGACATCTCTAAAGTATTTGACAGGGTATGGCGCAAGTCGTTGCATTCTAAACTTCCCTCTTATGGTTTCTCTCCCCCACTTTGTTCTCTAATTTCTAGCTTCCTTGAGAACCGATCCATGCCAGTTGTTGTCGAGGGATCGATCTCTCGCTCTTTCTCTACCAGTAGTGGTGTCCCACAGGGTTCTATTCTTTCACCAACTATCTTCCTTCTTTTTATCAATGATTTATTTCACACTACGACTAATTCTATCCATTCTTATGCTGATGATTCTACTCTTTACTCTTCTTCACATTTTACCCTTCCCTAATTCTCAAACTAGATCTATTAATGCAGATCTGTGCAGCATCTCCGAATGGGGAGGTGGAAACTTGGTTAAATTCAATTGTAATAAAATCAGTATTTACCCATTACAATAACCAACCCTAACCTAACCAAACCTTAATCTAACTTTGACCTAACCTAACCTAACCACGGTATAAATTATTTGTAAAAGACACACAAGAAGATAGACTGAAAACCGAGGTGGGGAAATTAATACAATAATGTTAGTTAATGTCTCAACTGTAACTATACCTCCTATTATACCCTGAATTCTAAAAGGCTTTCCTTCATTATACGATCATTAAAGGACCTGAGGATATCTTTCCCCTTTGAAATGATTAAAAAATTGCACATATTTACGTAAAATCAGTATAACGTTATATTGACGCTTCACTTATTCAGCTATTTACATTAATTTATCAAATTATGCAAATTTCATAAATATTGAACCTTTAGATAATTAAACTACTTAAACGTTGCAAAGTTAAGAAGAAAAGACTTTCCTGGGTCAAAATTTTTCAGTGCCAAACCTATAAAAGTGTTCCAACTGTCCTGACCACGATGACTGCTCGCCCACCTTCAGTTTAATAATCATGGATACCTTCAATTTTCCCGCTTTCCAACCTGTTTGCATCATTTCGATATGGTCATCCTTGCTAATCACTTTCATTAGTACTATTCGCCCATTTCATCAATAATCCTACTTTGCCCCATCACAGAATAACTTTTAACTCTTCACTGTGGCTTACAGCTACCTCGCCAAGGACGGATGTGCCTATGGAAGCAGACGTGTCAATTGTCCCCAGGAGTCAGTGTGTTACAGCATACCTCAATACCCAAGACCGTCCCGTGGTGGATGAGAGGCAACTGTGTGCGGGCGAGGGTACTCGGGATTCATGCAGTGTAAGTTCTTCGGCGTTGTTATAATCCTCACCTCAAATATATTCTCTTGTTTTCATGTGTCTACTGTTAAATCACTCCCTCTCCAGCAGTCTTCACTCATTCACTTTGGTTTCTCCTCAGGGTGACAGCGGTGGACCCCTCAACCACCGGGGTCCTGGCGGGAGGTACACCGTGGCGGGCATTGTATCCTTCGGGGTGGGGTGTGCCAGGGCAGAATTCCCAGGAGTGTACACCAGAGTGAGCAGCTTCCTCGACTGGATTGAGAAGAATGTCCAGTAATACAGGCGTCGACTCTGCCCGGGTAACACGTTTGGCACGTCTTGTGTCACACTTCTCTTTGACACCAGGAACAACAACAACAATAAAGAGTTACATCAACTCCAAAAAATGACATAGAAAAAATGGTTGCCGCTTCACTTATTAGATGGCTACTTCAGCTGGACTATGTTTAAGGTGTCGTAGCTGCCGCCAAGACAACACTCAGACCTCAAATTAACATCAGGTATCAATTAATAATACAGGAAGAGCGTACAATTCACTAACCACAACTGCTAACCATCACCCAGCAATTAAATCTACCAGTCGATAAAGATAAAAGTCATCATCTACTGGAAGACAAACAAAGGAAAATGGCATAAAGGAAACTTGGCCACAGTTTCCCCCTCCTTGGTGCTTGAACCCAGGGCCACTCACTACACCACAAGTCAACCCAAAGTGTATATTACAGGTAGGTGTTGGTGAATCAGGGTATATACAATTGTCTGGTCCGTAGCGTCTAACTTCTCAACTTTTCCCTGTTGTCTCTCTTCTTCCTGAACAAATGTCCATCCTTCCTTCAATTCATCCCACAACTCAATTTCTTACTAAACATTCTTCCTCCAATGGCATCATCTAACAACCCTTTCCCTTCTCAATCCATAACTAATTTAATTCTCCTTCACCTCGTTATCACCCTTAGAAGGCTCTCCAAGACATAGCCATCGATCATCATGTAACAAATCTTCCTCCATCTCACAACGCCTCCTCCTCCTCGCCACCTCTTTCCTTCTCATCTGTACATCTGACATCTTTCAGTTTCTACTTCTGTCTCCATTTCGTTCTACACTGTCTTCATCTTCGCTGTCTCGTATAATTGTGTAATGTTTGACCTTATGAAGGATCCACAGGAGAGGCTCACGATAAATCTGCTCAAAAACTCGGGTGTTAGTCGTCTCTTATACTTCAAACAGCTTCCATGTGATCGAACTATTTTGTGCATCATTGTCTATGTGTTTGAAGACCCTGAAGAAAAACTTAACATTTACTGGTGTATTTTAGATGTTTCTTCTTATTATATACATTATTAAAAAAAATCACTCCTTTATTTAAATTTTCTACAAAATTATAACTTTCTTTATTTTTTGTACATGTTATATTGTTTAAAGGTCAACATTGTTTTATACTTAGGCTTCTAGTTGTGTACTGTAGTAGTTATTTTTAGTAATAAATATTGATTTATTTTTTTCTTTATAATATTTGTTTTATGTAACTATTTCTAACAAAGTTAAAGATATGTGTTAGTTGATCATAATTTACTTGTAGTGTTAAGTTAGAAGTGTATAAATGGAAGTCAGGGTTAAACAAAGGGGACATTACAAAGGTACTCAAACTATCCAACTAGGAGCGAACTCGTAACAAAGGTTTTAAATTAGACAAATTTAGATTTAGGAGTGAAATAGGTAAACACTGGTTTGGAAACAGAGTAGTGGATGAATGGAACAAGTTACCAAATATCATCATTAACCCGAATACGCTGAATAGCTTCAAACATAGGTTGGATGCTTATGTGAGCAATAGGGGTTGGGTATAAAAGGGACTGCTCAGTATGGGTCAATAGGCCCGCTACAGTTTCCTCCATTCTTATGTTCTTATGTTCTTGTATACTGTAATGTGTTAATGTTACTATGCCATTGTTAATTACATTATTTTATTTTGTAATAGTGTAAGTTTATTGGCCATTAAACCTTTAATTATCGCTTGGTTATTTTTATCATGTTCAAAAATATATTTCAAAGCTAACCTGACCTGACCTGACCTAACCTAATGTAACGTAATCTGACCTAACGTAGCCTGATCTGACCTAAAGTAACCTGACCTGGCCTAACGTAACCTGAGCTGACCTAACCTAATCTAACGTGACCTGACCTAACTTAGCGTAACCTGACCTAACCTAATGTAACCTGACCTGACCTAACGTAACATAACCCGACCTAACCTAGCGTAACCTGACCTGACGTAACCTAACCTAACCTGACCTAACCAGCCAACTTAACTATAATATAATTACCCTAAAGGTTCCTTTGGATAGCTTTGGGTTATCTGTCACACCAAAAGGTACAATTAATGGTACAGTCCTGTATTTTACTATATATTGTACTGTACCTCTGGCCTGGCTACCGATAACCTACGTAACATGTTTGTACTAATCGGTTAGGTTAGGTTAGATGAGGAAAGAGTACTGTACAGCAATCCTATAGTTTACAACCAATTTCAATCACAGTCGACATTAAACTATACGTATTCTACAAGGGTGAGTTTGCTTGCATCATTCCTCTTATAAATCTACGGCCCGACAAGTCCCCCCCCCCACCTCCCCGAGCCGCCGAAACGTTTAGGAAATAAAATCTATTCTGCAATAGTAGGAAACAAAATTGGTTCACGCAATCTACTACAAAGATATCCTGGACCACTGATGAACTAATTAGGTTTATTACAGGTTTGCTTTATACATAATCCACCCCCACACCTCCCCTACTTAACGCATATAATCCACCCCCACACCTCCCATACTTAATGCATATAATCCACCCCCACACCTCCCCTATAACGCATATAATCCACCCCCCACACCCCCCTACTTAATGCATATAATCCACCCCCACACCTCCCCTACTTAACGCATATAATCACCCCACACCTCCCTACTTAATGCATATAATCCACCCCCACACCTCCCCTACTTAACGCATATAATCCACCCCGACACCTCCCCTATTCAGTGTACGGAATCTCACCAAAGAATCACACAGAATCTCGCTTAAAAACTCAAAGCTTTGCAAAGAAATAACTAAACAATCACACAAAGCTGACTACAGGAATCACATAGAGCTCATAAAGAATCACTCAACGCACTAAAACTCATAAAAAATCAATACAGTACTCGCTGAAACTCACAAACACAATACAGTACTCGCTGAAACTCACAAACACAATACAGTACTCGCTGAAACTCACAAACTATCACAAAACTCATTAAAAACTGAGATAATACAGCACAAAACTCACTTAAACTCTCATAAAACAACACGAAACTCACATAAAAAACACGATACTCACATAAAACAACACGAAACTCACATAAAACAACACGATACTCACATAAAACAACACGAAACTCACATAAAACAACACGATACTCACATAACACAGCACGATACTCACATAAAACAACACGATACTCACATAAAACAACACGAAACTCACATAAAACAACACGATACTCACATAAAACAACACGAAACTCACATAAAACAACACGATACTCACATAAAACAACACGAAACTCACATAAAACAACACGATACTCACATAACACAGCACGATACTCACATAAAACAACACGATACTCACATAAAACAACACGATCCTCACATAACACAGCACAATACTCACATAAAACAACACGATACTCACATAAAGGACAACGATACTAAACAAAGTAAAACAAACATAGGTACAATATCCGGTGAATTGGAATAGACCTCACCAGCGGGTCTGACAAGGGGAATCCCCACCTATCGATATTCCGAGTAACAGTCAAATATTTTCCGGGTTGCTCACAAACGTTCGTGTCTTCATTTACACACCTTGGTCCGTCTCCGAGAAATGTGACTGCCTCGGCCACAATACGTATGTGCTCCCTTCTCATTTATTTTTACTACCCAATATTTACCTAAAATCCGTCCCGTGTGTTTGTTGGAGATATTTATGTATGTGTTCGTTAATGTATTTGTCAGCTATTCTGAAGCCATCCTGATGTGATTAGCCTAATTACACGAGATGGCTTGAGCTCTAGCGCCAGGGTGGTTAACGAGTTGTGTCATGTCATCCACGCCAAGACCTTGATACAGGCCTTACCTTTGATGTTAGATTCCACAGCTCGCTAAATGTGGGAGCAATATGTGGGCGACAGCCTCATCTTCAACAATTGCCGTAAGAAAGTGGGAGATTATATACGTCGGCGGATAATTTCGAATTATTTGTTCGAATCTGGAAATCGTTGAACGTGCTAGAAGATTGTTAAAAGTCAATATCAAGGACACATTGATGACTGACTGATGTAATGTAGAACGTTTGTTAAGCTCCTAAGTATTTTCTACGGACTACCGCAAGATACGGGAGGTAATGTACTTACTTGTGTGTTTGTAACCAAAACGATTCGGCAATAAGTTAATCTATCTGAATGTAATTTCACATACATGTTAAATGGTGGCCACGATAACGTATATGACTGAGACAGAAGGCAGATATAAAGATGAAGGCTCAAGTAAATATTATCCATCAGGAGCCAAAACAGGTTGACTGCTTTAAAGACCCCATCAACTGGTGCAGGCAGTTTAACGATCACGGTCAAGGGACTGATATTCAAGTGTTGTCCTCACATGATCACTGCACAAATATTCGATACAGACTTGATTTACGCGCCAATATATCACATTCCAAGCTGCTTACGTCATGTTCCCTTACCTGGGGTCTTCCCACTCCCACCTGCTCTTGCCGCCATGTCCACATTTCCAGCGTCACCAATACATTCCACACTACCAAATCGTCACACTTCCAGATCACCATACTCACCACACCCCCACCTTCATACCACTACCTCTCCACCTCACCACCTCACCATCCTGCACCGCCTCCCTACACCAGTAACACCACCACCTCCCTACCTCACCACCATGCAAGAATAGGTTAAGATAAACAGATCAAAGGTAGCAGTAATAGGTCACAATCATAGTCAACGTAGGTCGAAGGAAGGATTCGGAGCTTGTGTTTGTTGGTTCGGTTGGTAGAACTGCATGTTGCGCTATATTCACCATTGTCTCCTGAAGATGTGAATTACACGGAAGCGCTTGGGAACTTCGTGTTTTCTTTTTTCCCTGTGATAATCAGCATATACCTGGATCACGCGCACCTACAGTGATTTACTTGCATATATATATATATATATATATATATATATATATATATATATATATATATATATATATATATATATATATATATATATATATATATATATATATATATATATATGACCGAATTCGTCAACTGTGTTAGCTCGCGAGTTTATCTCTTAATTTGTTTAAATGTGTGTGTGTGTGTGTGGGTCTCACATATCAAACACCCCACAACCGTTTTCAAATCTGTGACGTTTATTGTATTTTACGTTTTAAAGGAGACCTTTATAACTTCCAATATTTGGTCTTTATACTTAAATTTAATTGTATTTTTCCTCAGGGTTTGTGTGGAAGCTGTTTTGGTGTATTTAAGTGGAATATTGTATTTAATTTTGTTAGTGACACAGCCCTTCCGTCTGGGGTAATTTATTGGTAGTTCTAGATCTCAATATACTCTCAGGTAAAACTGAGCGTCATAACAAAACCCAAACAAATTTCCTTACAATTGTGTTCACTTGTGGTGTCTGTCACGAGTGTGTTCTTCTTTATTTGATAATTCTAATGTTGTATTCCATTTATACTATCATTATTTGAATAATTCTCTCACCATCCTCGGAAAGTGTATACTAGTAAAACATAAAAAAAAATTACTGCTCGCTTGTTTGTTGTACACAAGGCCACGGGTCGACCTCCGAGCAGGTGATGACCAGAAACAAGTACCAGTATACCGGTAAGTGTGGCCGGCCATCATCTGCTCATGAACTTTATAAAAGATCTTAGAGCAACTGTCCCTTGAAGACACGGTCGCCGACATCAACAAATGAACGGAGTTAACGAGGCAAAGAACGCGTCAACTTATTAGTATGAATCTCTGACAGCGGTGTGTTGACGAAGTTGCCGATCATGGCATCAATTTGGGGGCGATCTGGGCGAACATGACATCAAACACCAATGATATTTGGACATATTCCAAACTCGTTAAACTCCAGATCCTTCAGTGTTACGGAGACAGCACAGTGAGTGGAAATATGACCGTAACTTTGTAGTCATAAAGTGGCGGGGGAGTTATTCCTGTCTGTAAGAAATAAACACTTATTGGAGTACGCTTTCGCATATAATATGACCCACTGAACCAGAAGTAACTTGTTGTCTTGGGAACATGAAGTTGCCGCACTGTACCAGTAACTGATGACGCGACACAGCTTCTGGTGGACTTGGTGGATCTGATTCGTAGTCAAAGACCATAATGTTGGCGTCGTCAACATGTGTGACCTAAATACTAGATGGGAGAGTAATTCGTGGTGCAGGAGCCTCAACACCAGCCAGACACTGTACAGTCCAAGATTAGATCATAACTAAAAAAAGTGCAGGTGGCGCCTGTTATATGGGATACATTGTGATCATCAGGGTGCACGAGCCTGCCGTAGGGCGCGCAGTAGTGTGACACTTCCTGTATGAATCTACAGTCAAGACTGGAATGATATGACATCCTCCCAGGACATGGGCACAGCTGCCGAATACTTGCAACAGATTCAGTGAGGCGTCTGTGAGAGGCGACAAGGGTCCAGCAAGGATGATGGCTCACATCAAGGGCGTAATTCGCAAACGAGACAGTGTGAAGTCACAATCAACAATAGCAGTTGGTAGATCTGAGATCACAGTTGGTGCGAAACATCTGTAACGACGGAAGATGGAGCTTACGTCGAGAAGTGTTTGCCTTCAAGAACCACAAGTCAAAATCCTGGAAACTTGAACATGACAATGCATTATATGACAGAAACTGGAAGAGCTGATGAGTGGCATTGAATTGTACCCTTAACACTTCCACGTTGCCTGCCGAGAGGAGCAGATTTACATAATCACTCTAGCCCTGCGACGTTGCTAGGCACCCGGAGAGAACACAGCAACATAACATGAGAGAACCGTTCAATCCGCCTCATCAGCGAGTTCGCCGTCAAACTGAGCGTACTTCTCCCGGTTCTGTGTACTAAATCTATACAAGAGTCACATTCCGGCATCATGGAAGTGAGCAACAACAGTGCCATTACCCAGGAAACTTAATCCAACTATTCACCCCTTCACCTTTCTGGCATCGCTACTGCTGTATTAAGAGATTATCTTGGGAATAATGATAGCTAAACCTCTGAAACTCTGCGTCTCAGTCTGCATCTGGAAACTATGGAACCGTATTGTTTTTATCAGCTAGACTTCACCAAGTTGTGATAGTGAAGTTCGACCGAGTTATTAAGGTTTCGCCAAGTATCGCTGTGTGAGTGACCTTTCGCTTATTAGTACACACACTAGTTCACATACCTTATACAGGTGTTCTATTTCTGTCTGATACATTCTGCTGTTGTTGTTCTTATAGTCGCCGTCTTCCCATGTGATCCACCATAAGCGTTGTTGTTGGGTGTTGACATGTTATCTGGAAAAAAAATACCTCACTATAGCGGTTATATAACACTCAGCGGTGTAAACTATACCCCGTGTTTAATTCAGATTGGATTTCGCCAAAGAACATAATAACTGAATATAATGGAGGACTTTCACCGAAGAAACAGCTCAGGTATCCGGAGTTACATTCTGATAACAGTTTTAGATACAGTTCCGAAAACATTAAATTCTTACATGAATACCATAGTAAATGTATTACACGATGACATATTCTCTATGAAGACCATGGAGATAGACTATAATACAGGAAGGAAATATTGTCTTGAAAATTTAGCTTATATACTTAATACTAAAGTGTGTCATTTTGAAACACCATCACTGTATAAGTGTGATCAAATGACTAGGAGTAATATATCTGTCTCTTCCTGGATATATACTAAAACGATATTTTTCAGGAGGAATTAAAGTATTGGTCATTTCATTGTGACTTTCTGTCGAGCTTTATGAACCAAACAAAACATTATATGGCCGCTCAAGAAACCCAATGACAATTTTGTTTCCTTATAATGAGTTATTCCCTCTTACCAAAATGGTTCAAATAATAACACACAACTAAACGCGAGTTGATATATCTCCCCGCGTCGGAGTCACTACTCGGTGATGAAATAGGAATTTCCATCAACCAAGGCGGGTGTTATGTTGGCCAGCTAAACAACAACAAAACTCCCCGTAATCTGTGTTGTGGTCCTGAGTGTCCGGTGGTTTATCACACCCGTTGAATGTTGTAGTTAAAACTATTCGTAAACAGAGACTAATAACAACCTCAAAATAAAGAAAAGATGTATGAATATTCGGGAAAGTCTTGTTGCGCCATGCCAACAAAGGCGGAAAACTTTCCGTCACCTTAGCCAGGACGACCACCACAATACTGCTGAACTAGATCCCACCCTAAAGTCTGCACATGGCTGCAGGTGGTGAGTCATTCTTCTTACCGGGAATAACCAGCTTGAGGGAGTCCACATACCTCCTCCACGCCTCCAGAAGTAAACGTACAAAAATGAAATAAATGAAAAAGGTGTATATACCAGTACGTATTTTTTAAACCAATAAACATAATATGAGTGATGGAAAAATATTTCCTTTATGAATTCCTACTGGTGTGTAGATGATTTCCACACGCAGAAACTACCGTAGTCTTAAACGTGAGTGAACGAATACACGAACACAAAAGTCACTGGCGGACACACACACACACATGGAAAAAGAAATAACTCACTGGTAATAGGTTGCGAACCAGAATGCTAAGGTAGGGAGTGATGGCGCGATCTTGGGAACCTTGGCTGTGTATTACGCAGTAGAGTAATCCACATTAACGAAGATACTTATTACTGTGATGCGAAATGTGAACACCGGCCACCAACTCGACTACAAGCCAGACCTACTGATACCTCTATTGAACGAAAGCAAGGTAACAGATCTACTTCTGCTCTTGGCATTATTCACTCAGAACGTACCCTCTGTTCAAGGCTGCCGTGTGTTCCTAAAGCAATTCCTCACCTTTAATACAGGTTAGTTAAGACTCATGATCCGTGGAGAGGGAGCAACAGCCGACGACTCCACATGAACAATATAGTTAGTGTTGTCACTTGACTAAGTATTATTGTGGCAGTTATCCAGTATGTGTGGTACTGTATATGCATATGTAAGAATATGTGGTAATAAATGCTTGTTGGTGTCATTTAAGCATCACAGTTTGTCCCACAAATTTTCTTGTGACAAAGATTACACATAAACACACACACACACACATTATATATATATACAGGTATGAACACACATATAGTTACATACATGCATACATACATAAACTTCACACTTGCCCGAAAAGGTTATTACAATTAATTATTATATATTTATCTTTGTATTACGAGAACTGAAAGTAAATAGAGTAAATGCTTCGTACAAGGTTCTTTCCACTCCCAGGAAGACTCCAGGTGTAACAGTAAGGTCAGCGAGGACTCATCTACAGTATAGGCCGAGTGTTGCGTGATCAACTCCGGTCAGCTTGGGCAGCCCAGTGATAAATCTAAGACAAGACATGTACTGTATACAGTATATTTAACGACCGGGACTAACTAATATACCACATTGTTTGTTTATTCCTATCGAAGAAAACTAAGACCTCTTGGCCACAAAATTCCTCACACGAACAACCTAAATGTCTACATTTCACTTGCTACTGGTGAATCAATACTGTACGTAGTGTCTTCATACACACCTTACTTATTTACTGTTTCCATACACATTACAGAACAATAAATAATTTTAATACGTATTTCAACTAAAAAAGCGAGGGAGTGAGTGGGTTTGGTAACAGTCGAAGGTACTCCTTAACCACCTAATCCCGGATCTCCCTCTGGCATGAAAAGTGACACACTGTACTGTGTGTGCCGCCATGTGAAGATGAAAACACTCATGATCTGCTGCTGCCAAAGTCTCTACATGACCAGTAGCTAACTCAACAATTACATTAATTGATGTAGGTCACGTGATAGGTAAATAACATTAATATACAAATACTTATAATCCATATTTTAGTTATATATATATATATATATATATATATATATATATATATATATATATATATATATATATATATATATATATATATATATATATATTATGTGTGTGTGTGTTAGTGAAACTACATATTCGACAAAATATATTAGGAAACATATTTCATATCACATATAATAGTGTCTTTGTTCATGTATTTCCTCTTGTAATAATTTAATCGAGTATCTGGCAACGTTAGTAACAGGTTATGAGGTGGCAAGTGTAGCTGGCTATTTAGTCAGTCACCAACCGTTGCTCTAAGAACATCAGTATCGTGAGCGGTGGCGTCAGCATTCTACGGTACGTGAATTTTATATTTCCATTTAGAGGGTCTTTTTAAACATCAAAGTAACATCAGTATATATTAGACACTTGTATACCTTGGAGCCTTACGGTAATCAAAGGAGTAATGTTCAGAAGCACAAATTTCAAGGTTAGCGAGACCTGTACACGAGCATGCTGAAGTTGATCCGTTATTTACGATTATTCGCTTTATGAATAAGCCTGTTTTATTATTCGAGGATTTCTGCCTGTAAGGAAATAAGATCTTACTGTAGGTTACTGTCGGGAAATAATGATGGTTTGTTAAGTACAGTCTCTTCGTTGTCACTCGGAGTCAAGTCTGACTATCATCCAGCAATGGTAATTGTTAATGGCGTCATCTTCGTTAGTAAGCTCAAAGGTAGCTTGGAAGGTCAAGGGTCATCCGGAGAGTGTATGACCATGTGGAGGGGAGGGGAGGGAGGAGCGTCTTTCCGAGGACTGCTTGACTGCTTCCAGTTGTGGGTAACAGTCTTTCCGGGCGAGAGCGTCGAATTAAACCCTTTTCAGGTTTGTCAAAAGAGTACCATAAATGGGGATAATTGCGAAATGGCGATAACTTCTACATTTGTTAAACTTATGACTGGACATAAACTATCATGTAGATAATCATACTGCATATAAATGAATAGCTACATATATTGCATAACCTAACCTAGTATTTTGTTTTTATCTAGATTTATACAGGCCTCTTAAGGTGCCTACACACTATCAAATATGTTTTATCAAACATGATGTTTGATCATACAATTTGAGAGTGTGTGGGCAAGTTTGAAGGTATGACCAACATGTTTGAAGATTAAACAAGTTTGATATTTTCTCGTCCAACATGACGTTTGTCAAACATGTTGGAATAGTATGTGGCGATGTATGATCAAACATGCTCAGTCGAGTACAGTCACCCAAAAAAGTCCTGTCGCGAACCACGATTCAGACTCGTGAACCCGAAGCAGTAGACACATACATTATTCTGTCCATAAATGCTTCGGATTCAAGAGTGAATCTCGGGGTTCATGGTTCGCGAGAGGACTTTTTTGGGTGACTGTACGTAGCAGTAGCCATGGCGAGCGCACGGGACTCCCATGAGTTTTGGAGAGTTTATTGAACTTTATAAGTAGTTTCCATCTTTTTGGCAAATAAAACAGTGAAGATTACAAGAATAAGTCTCTTAAACAAGAATGTTTAGGGGAATTAGTGGAAAAGATGAAAGAAATCATCCCTACTGTGTACTAGAGTCTTTGACTTGCTGGTATGGTATATCTCAAGATAGTGTCATCTTTTTTATGTATGGCGTCACTTTCTCCAACAGTTCAGCGAAAGTTTCATTATCCATTCTCAAAAAGTTCTTATAATCTTGAGGAGATGATTCCACTAGTTCCTTTATTAGGGCGTCGTCAGAGAACTTGGGTCTTTTTCTGTGCCATTCCTTCATCCATAATTTTATTTTTCGTTTTTTCTTTCAAGTCTCTGTTTCAAGAGAAAGTATAATAGCAATACAGTCTGCCTCCTTGCTCGTGCTGTCACCCAGTGTTGAGGCGACGCAGACACCAGCTGAAGTTTGATCATTCTAGTTGTAAAGTGTGTAGCGATGTATGATGCGTGATCAAACATCATGTTTGACAAACACATTTGATAGTGTGTGCTTTAACTGAGCCAGGTACAGCACTTTAGTGGACCCTTCTTGGGAAATACAAACAATTCAACTGAGTTACTTCATCTGGACTTCCCCTCACAGCGCGGTGACGTAACCAAGGGCTGGAGTTGAAAGGTGAAACTCGGGAATGAATTTAAAAATGTGAACCTCAGGTGTGATTGAATTTAAATAGCAAAGCCGCTTCAAAATTTTGTGTTTTTTAAGGCATACAATTATATAAAAAAATATTTTTAACGAGACTGAAAATATAAATTTATTGATAACCTGGAGAAAACAAAACCCCAGCTACTCTACAGTGTTTGCTTTCAAATAATTCATAGACGCATATTATTTTTTATCAAAATAAATAAACGTGTTGAAAGACCACAAAAATTATTAATAAACTTGCTGTGAACCCCGGTGTTGATAGTTTTTGAGGGCAGCACAGAGCCCTGGGCACGGGGATAGACTATCGGCTACACTATCATCTAAAATACATCATCTACACTAACTTTATAACCAAATGCATTATCTCTACTACAGCCTCCACTATCTACATTACATTCTCAACACTTATCTCTACACTACATCAACGACACATTAGACCTTTGTGAGTGTTCCGCCTTTTAGAGAGGGAGGGTCGGCCCCGGATCTCTCTCACCGGTACATACACATATGCATGCCAGATTTCAGCTTTATCTTCAAAACTATTGTCGGAGACTGCGAACAGACGCACAGAAAAATACATAAACACTGTCCTTTATACATTATACATAACTACAGCATACTGAAAACAATATTCAAGGGTAACGCTTAAATCACTTCGCACGATGGGCTATCACTCAACAAAACCATGGATATTTTCATTCATATACACTAAAAACAAAACAAAACGATAGAAATCATATTTCCAACAGACTGTAACAACAACTGAAGAACCGATGTAATTTACACAAGAAAAATCCTGCAGATCAAACCCACACCATTTTTTTATTATACATCACTGAGTAATACTAGTTATAATATATATATATATATATATATATATATATATATATATATATATATATATATATATATATATATATATATATATATATATATATATATATATATATATATATATATATATATATATATATATATATATATATATATATATATATATATATATATATATATATATATTTTTTTTTTTTTTTTACATGTTGAAATGAAAGAGCCAAACAAAATATAAATTAGTCAAAGTTATTTTCATGGAGTAATACAGAATACGGAGAATATAATTTTGAGCTAAGGCGTGACTACAAGTTTACATTGTATTGTTTTACTCGCCTATATGATGCAATTAATAAGTAATACCACATTGTAGGTCATCATCATCTTGAGATTAAACAGAGTGTGAGAAGAAATTTGGATTTGTGCCATAGAAACTAATTTCTACATTAGTGACCAAGATTATCACTTCCATCGATGGATGCCGCCTCTATTTCGACAATATCCTTATTAGCATTACATTTGGAAAATTTAATTCCTGAATCATCAGTAATCTTCATTGCATTCATTGTCCATAAAACTGTCAGTAAACTGGATTAAATGTTCGATTGTGTTGGCGCGTCTCGACGAATATATTCATCTTTATTCATTGTGGAGAAAAAACACTGGTGCTGCCTATGTGGTTGGGGAAACACCCGGGAGTAAACAACACAAGCAAAGGCTTCTAGGAACTCCACACGGTCACACTACCTGCTTTGTTGCGTCACAATAACAATACTAGGTGTAGGTTGATTATGATTGATGTTTTGATATATGAACTAACTTCCTTTAATGGTAGCAATAAAAACAATTACCCCTATTTGGGAAACATGAGTTACGTTTTAAGGCTTGATCAGGTGATTATTTTCAAAGGTGTAATGATAGCATGCGAGCACCTGTATATGTATACACCTGGTAGTGCTCGACGATTTATAACATTATGCATAATAACGCTCATTTATATTTTCAGACATGATGAAGTGGCTTGGATTCAGCCTGCTCTTGTTCGCGACAGTCGGTGCACAAAGTAAGTAGGCGAGTCCAAGATCATTATTACTTTATGGAAGACTTAAGTAACGGCTCATGTAGTATGTGGCTTTCATTATGTATGAATGATTCCTCAACAATTGTACTTTAATTTATCTAATGTCATTATTAATTAATCATTATACAACGATGAAGATACACACAAAAGAAAATAATTTATACAATATCGACATTTCAGAATAATAACAGTATCCGAACACTACTCAGAATCAGTGTACAGTATTATTTCATATACAGTATTATACAGGGTGATTTAGAAAGTCCTTGTGTACCTGCAGTAATTAACAATATCGTTCCTTGCTATACCTACATTTGGGAGAGGTATCCACTTCCAATATTTACCGTGATCATTTTCAATATTTACAGTAAGTAGAAAATGTATATTTTTATTATGGCAGGTGCCCAAGGACTTTCTATCCCCATGTATAATATGAGTAAGGTAAACTCTTGCATTGCTGCGCCAGGCTAGCATAGTTATTCCAAGTTCATAATTACTTAAGTATGAGAGAAATATTCAAATTTTAGCGTCGGTTTAACTTATGAAATTCGAGGAGTGTATGAACATTACACTGTACAAACGCATTTATACAGTGGTTTAACTTGATATAAATAAACGATCCACAGCAGCAGCTAGACCTTGTTGACCAAGTTCTATCTGTATACTCATTAATTCTGTGGTACGATAGATCTTAGTACAGTAACTGATATAATTCAGTCTCAATTTATACATTTGCCGCTTCCTCACAACATTCTCTGAAAGATGTTTGTCTCACGTGGGAAGGGAGTGGCAGTCTTCAAGTTTACAATAAATGTTCAAAAGCATAAATGGTAACACACAGCCTGATTGCCATGAATACAGACACTGAATCATCACAAATAATATGACACTTCGTTTATGTTTTTGGCAGGCACCGGGAACCCTGACGATGAGCTTAACAGCGCTATGGTGAGCGTACGACAAAACTTTAATCCCGGGCCCAGTTCATCATCATCATGTGTCACTCCTGCCGGCGAAACTGGTATGATAATCTTTTACGTTCTGTTGACTTAAGATTTAAATCGGGATGTTTTGGCTATGTTTTGATTACCTGATCTGGCTTGAGTTTTGGGATAGATTGTAGCATAGTTTGGTAGAGTAAGGTGATGGTTCTATGTTGTTTCAGATTAGGTATAGTGATTAGACGTAAGTTTAATTTTATTTGATAACTGAAGATAGGATATTTGAAGGCTCAGTATATGTTTAAGTAAATAATTCAATCATAATCTTACGTCTCTGGCAGAGTTGGTATTTATTTGTCTTGTGAAATTAGTCTCTTCTTGTGTTTCATGATATTTACCTTTGCTATTGTTTCTCAAAATGTGGTACAGGTAATGTTATATCATCTTGAGACTACTAGTGTCCATTTCTCTTTTTCGAATTTTACTTTATTCCCTTGATGGAATTGTGTGAATTATAGTTTTGGCTTTGTTACCAATGCAGGTACATGTGATTCCCTGGGTAAATGCCCTGTATACTTGTCACTGGTCAGTCGGATTCGACAGCCACACGTCAGCACCTTCTTCAGGAACCGAATATGCAGGTAAATTAGCACTTGTGGCTCAATAACTATAGAACGCGAATAAATGTCCCAAGGCAATTTCTCATGGAGCTGAATATTTATATAAAAAAATTAGTCAAATTTAACATTTGTGGTTTTCAGCCAATTTTAAATGTTATAGTCTTTTATCAACAAAAAAGTCATGTAATATCGCTTCACAAATATTATTAACACATGTAATTTGGCCCAAAAGTATAAAATACTTCTCTCGTTACTACAGTAGGGCATCAGAAGTAGCTCAGTTTCAATTATATTTCATGTTTCAGCGTTTTTGTTTTATTTTTGTATTTAAGTTCAGAAATACGAGATTAGCAGATGGAGAGTTTTACACATGACTTTATTATGGCGGGAGGCTTCACGTGACTCCCATCAGCCTCCAGCCCCTCATGGGGATTATGTAGCTATTTTTCTCATTTATAAGCACACGGCACTAGGGAAATGGTCATTACGTTGTAACCTGACCCCTCAACAGATTATTACAGGTAGTACTGTTATACACTGAAATGACCTCTGAACTGTCAAGATTCTTCTTGTCTACTTTCTGTCATTCTGGTGTAACCTTTCATGTTTCTGTATATACAAACCAAACGTTATACTAGTCTTACATATTCGGCGATATTACTTACACTAAGAAAACAACAGGAGAATGACGTTATGTGATGTAATTGTGGAATGATTATTTTGAAGTGTCATCGGTACTTTTCATGTTTTGTGTTACAGTAACAAGGAACACACCTGCAAATTGCCATTTTTTGCTTCTGCTAATCACATCTTGTGTTTCCTTTGGCAGACTACTACCGAGGACAGTGCACGTGTGCTGTCCAAGTACCACGAACCCCGTCCTACCAGGAAGAACCAGTGTGCAATCCACCAACCCACCACAGTTACCACCCATCTTCCAAGAGGATTGTGGTGTGTCCTTCGGTGAAAGAGTCGTCGGAGGCAAAGTAGTCACTAAAGTATGTGTGTGGTATACACAGCTAAATATTATAATTTTTATCTCTTAATTTGTAAATTTATGCTTATTACCCATTACCAGTACAATCACGAGAATCCGGTATGCTTAGGGGCCGGACCACGTTCTTTCCGGGTATCTGAGTAATATATATATATATATATATATATATATATATATATATATATATATATATATATATATATATATATACACACGTGTGTGTGTGTACAATATAACGCAACAGGAATAGACTTGAAAAACAATAGTATACAGTACAATCCTCTGGCTGTATCACACAAGCCTCAGGTATAAAATAATGTGGAAAACCACTCACTGGATTTCCAGGGTAATCCATGCTCGTTTATTAGCCATGTAAAGCAAGGGTATATATAACTTTCATGTGTTCAAAGACTGAGGTTTACCACTTCCCTACCACAAGTATTTTTCACTTACACATGTCACCTTAATTTGCACACTTTAAAACAGGAAGCCTCTCCTTGAAACACCAGCCTCACCTGTATCATAAAGATCTTTAGGGTTTAGTCCTTCACTCATCGCTAAATTAACAAAATCAGTCGTATACTTTTCAGCTGTGGGGTAGATATTTACTAACCACCAGCCTTTAACAGATAAACAACTAAAAATTTTCCAGATGTTTGATGTAACAAAAAAAATTAATATATATTTCAAATGCAATCTTAGAATGTTTTGACAGCTGCAGGGGATTAAAATTTAGGGCATTTTTAAGCCAATCTGACCCACTTGACTTCGCCAAATTATTTTTTTTTTTACTAATTTTGCATTTGTAAAGTCTGGTACATTAACTTTGTTTTATGTCTACAGCCAGGGATATGGCCTTGGCTGGCTGCCATCGGCTTCAGGTTGGACAACGGCGGATTCCGATCCGATTGTGGTGGCACCCTCATCACCCGCCGCCACGTCCTCACTGCAGCTCACTGCTTCGATGAGCCAGGCCATCAAAACCCGTAAATATTATCTTATTACTTCACTTAATCTCATTGTGACCACATATTTTGACCACGAAAAATAGACTATAGTCATATTATGCAACACTATACGGTGGAGTGTAGTTCAGGATCGCCTGCCCTACAAGTGATCTTTGTAGATTTTTAAGTTGGCGTTACTGTGGATGTGTACCGAGTAACCGAGTAATTATACCCTTCCTTTGAAATCAGTTTACAATTTATTGATGATAACGGTTTTGACCAGAGATTTTACACAAATGCTTAAACATTACTAAGAAAACTTTTTATAGAACTGATCCCAAGCCCACCCATGACCATAAGAATATCTTAATATTACCATTTCACAAAAATTTCTCACACATTCCTGCACAGCTAAAAACCTGGAACGTCAATGTGGCATTTAAAAACTCATGCACTGTTAAACAAATGTTAATCAAGAACTCCCCCAACAACACAATTGGTTGCATTTATAAAGTTCCTTGCAAGGAATGTAATATGTTTTACTTAGGCCAGACAGGTAAAGATCTTGCAACTAGAATTAAACAACACAAATACAGTGTTAGGACAGGCCAGGAATCCAATGCTCTGTTTGTTCATTTGAGGGATAACAAGCATTGCATTGACTGGGATAATGCCTCCTCAATATTACCATGTAATTCAATTGATAGTAGGAACATCATATAATCTAGTCTTATTAAACATACCGAAGCATTCAACATGAATTTGAGTAACGGCATGTACAAGCTGGACAATTTTGTAATTAAGATTTGTGATCAGGTGAGAAAGCCGGGTCACTTGACCATCTGACCTGACCACCAACCGTTGTGTGCTATTTAAAGATTAGTAGGGTCATTACCTAATACCTGACCATTGTGGACCTGGTCTCACCCTCCTCTGTATATATACACCTTGATTTGTATTACTCTCTCTAGTCTGTACTCACCCCTGAAGATGTGAATTACACGAAAGCGCTTGGGAACTTCGTGTTTTCTTCTTTCCTTGTGGTTATCAGCATATATATATATATATATATATATATATATATATATATATATATATATATATATATATATATATATATATATATATATATATATATATATATATATATACAATACACAATACACTCTACACACACATACACACACACAATTGGGATTCACGCACACATCCTCTTGTGACTTTGCAGGGAGGACGTGCGGCTCGGGGAATTCAGTCTCTCCACTGACAGACTCGATGAAAACCCGCAGGATTTTACGATCAGTGAACGTCGTGGCAATACCTATAACCGCAGGACCAAGGAAAATGACATCATGATACTTGTGCTTGACCATGAAGCCACGATGAACAGTTAGTAACTTGTGTTTGTACTTGATAGATTTAGAAATGTTTCTGTATGGGTGTAGTAGTTCCTTCACTTACTTTTTATAGTTCTTCTAAATTATATTTTTAGTTTCAATTCTCTGCAAAGTTTTAATTACGCAGTAAATTCAGTTTTGAAAGAACCTTGATTGACAGTAGTAGGGTTCAGCGTTTCAAAATACTCATAAGTTTCATAAGTGTATCTGAAACCAACCACTTACAACAGCGTCCCTATCACCCACAGCATTTGTCGTACCAGCTTGTTTGCCCTTCACCGAAAAGAATAACGACTTCGAGGGACAAAGCTTGACCATTATCGGCTGGGGCAAGACTTCGTTTAGTGAGTTCCTCTTGGTGTATGTTTTATTTGTTATTAAACAAAAAAAATCCTTTCACAGATATCATTATTTAACATGACCCCTTCTGCATGATGTATATACAGAAGGTATATACAAGCAGCGATCACACTTCTAACACTGCCCTTTTGATAGATCTAAAAACTGCCCCTTTGTTCCTGTTAACGCATTCTCTAGAGTCTGCACCAACACCTTCAAAATAATATACATATTGATCATTTTTTTTGGGCGGCCATCTTCGATAAAATGTCAAAATGCGGGTACATCCCAGTGCCTACGGGGGAACCTCCTCCCATGCTCCATGACTAACAGTTGTGGGCAAGGTAACAAAGTTAACCGAGAATTAGGCAAAAGTTGTGACTGCGCAGATCTAACAAAATTATCTTTATGACAAACGATTGGTATTAAAATTGTAGATGATGCGCCTTAAAAATTGTGGTGCATGAATTATAAAAGTACTTATTGTCCTGGAATACTTGGGTGTGGATCCCTTGTGTAACAACTACTACTGGTAATTATTTTTTTATTTGCTGTTAGAGTTACTGGCTCTCATTTGGGTTTAACTTAGCACACCACTGACTTATGAGTTTGTTGATAATCCCGAATGGTCTTTTTCTCTACTCCTGTGGCCTAATTCTTTTATTTTCTTCCTGTTTCTTCACAGCAAACCAATTTCCCACGGACCTACCCAGGGAAGCAAATGTGACAGTGTCGAACAGGAATGCGTGTAGAGCAGCCTACCAGAGAGTCCTTGGCGATCGTCCTGTAGTGGATGGGAGGCATCTATGTGCTGGAGACGCCAACGTGGACTCTTGCAGCGTAAGTAATTTAAGGAATTTGTACTATTGGTAGGCATAAACGAGGTGAGTAATTAAATAAACATAAATATTAACTCTGTCTGAAATAGCTATACTAGGCATATCCACATCCGACAAATGCCTCCGCCTTTTTATGAATATTTTTATATATTACTCCTTACATAAATAATAACAAAATTTATATAAGATTACGTTTTCATAATTTTGGCTACGATTAACTCCAAACACTTTGTACAGTCAAAGACAAAAGTCGTGTCGTGAAATTTGGTGAAAATATATGGTGAAAGGCTAAACTTCTGCCTTGTGGGTAGGGAGCTCCCGTAATGTTTTACGAGTTATATTTAATCTTCGGACAAAACCGCGACACAACTTTTGTCTTTGATTGTACAACCTTAGGCCTAAAGGCCCTAAATGGGTTATATAACACGAAACTATTTGTTTCCTTAATCATAATCTCATGGTTAAATTTTCTCTTTTGCTAACTTTCTTTCGTGACTGGGGGGGGGGTGTGGAAAAAATAATCACCAATAAAAAAAATAAAAACTCAAATCCACTAAATAATAAAGTATAATCGCAGTTATAAACTAGTGAGAAAAGTTTGCCATAAAGCTTCAATGGTATACAGTATTTGCGCTCTTGATCTCAACATTTTCCAGAGACTTGTGGCGATATCAAGGAATTATGAAATAAATTACCGCCCTCATTTAAACTCCCCAATCTGAGCTCCCCTTAACGAAATCCGGCGTAACCCTACACTCTGGAACACACTCCATATCACTAACCCAACTCTTATATTCAGCCTCTTTACTCTTCAGTTGTAGAACCTATGAATACTTCACATCATACATTCACTCGTCCCCTTTTCAAAGACGTACAACTACTTATGTGCTTCTGTTATGTACACCATCACATTCTACTTGTTCATCAGATTTAAAATAAAGACCGCTGTCCTCACTTATTTCCTGTGCCTCCTCAACAAATACTATAAATTTCCTTTCTTCCCATAATTCCTCACCCATTTTCTCTCCCTCTCCAGCAGTCCTCACTCATTCACTCTGGTTTTTCCTCAGGGCGACAGCGGTGGACCCCTCAACTACAGACTTTCTAACGGCAAGTATTCGGTGGTGGGCGTCATATCCTTCGGGGTGGGGTGTGCCAGACCAGAATTCCCAGGAGTGTACACCAGAGTGAGCAGCTTCCTCGACTGGATCTTGAAGAATGTTCAGTAGTGTAGGATACATCATAAATGTTTCGTAGTATAGGATACATCATAATTAAAATTATATGGATAACGGAACATCACTCTAATTATACGTGTTAACTATGAAAATAATTTCTCCGGGTTATAATTTTGGAGAATTAGTCAGAGCAGGAAAACATACGAGTATAAATTATAAGGAAATATTCTGAATTAGTCAGAGCAGGAAAACATACATATACAATTATAAGGAAATATTCTGTAAGTGTTTTGTCTGATGACGTATTCGTGAAAAGGGCGTTTGTTAAGGACTACAAAATAAGAATATGAAAAATAATGAGAACCTCATTAGGATGACACGAAGGGAAATGCGATAGTAAAGTATAGAGAGGGGCCCCAGTAATTGAGTTTGCTGTTAAGATTAAGGATGTATTAGCAGTGGAATGACAGGTGCTGTACTGAAGAAATGATTGTGTTCGAATGCGAAGCATTTAAGTAATTGTTTGATGTATTTTTTTTATTTACTATGAACTTATAAATACAAGTTTTAGTTAAGCATGAATTTGTCTAATTATCCAATGATTCACTTACAAACTTATTTTCAATTTTTTTTGGGGGAGGAAAAGGATTATATACCCAGTATATGTTTAATATTTTCATTAAAACTATAGTTCGTTATTGCCGATTTCAATACTGTAATATCAAAGGTCTCTTAAGGACACATCATGTACTTAGTGAGGGACTACTGTATACTTCTTGTTAGGGTTATGGGTTACGAAAAGGGAATAAGTAGAACTGATACTGAATAGATATAACCGATATTGATATAATGAACTGAACTGATACTGTGAATGAGTTTAACAATACAGTATGAGGCATTTTCCAATCTAATAATATTACAGTGACATACAGAGAGTATACATTATACTATCCTCGTGTATGGTGGGATGGATCTGATACTGTTATATGTATATTGTAATTGATTACCAATATTGCAACACCACTTTTAGACATACAATGTACCCACAGAGGGCGACCTCACCTTACCTGGAGACCTGACTGTTGAGGATGACGAGTTCCACAAAAATTTAAATAATGAGTTACTTAACGCACAAAGGCAGAACATACCATACAGAAAACTCAGATAAAACAACAATCACCCTAAATGGATAAATAATTATTTAAAGAATATTATTGGACAAAGGAAAGCTATAGGTAGCAGAATAAATCGTGGTGAAGTTTACCTCCGAGATTATTATAAGGTATTGGCCAGTAGGGTTAAGACCAACATAAGAAAGGCAAAGAGGAATAATGAACTGGAGGTACCAATGGAGGCGAAGTCAAACCTCAAGAGATTCTATCAAATGTATTAAACTAAAACACGAGAAAAGATTGGACCAATACAGTCAGATACCGGCGAGCTAACTGATAACGACGGAGAAATGAGCAATAATCTGAATAAATATTTTTCAAGTTTTCACCACCGAAAATTTAAACATGATACCCGAGGTACCGCTTTATACAGAGATAGTGAAGAAAATAAATTAAGCGAGATAGTAGTGACTAGTAACGATGCTAGTAAGCAAATAGACAAACTAAAGCCTAATAAGTCACCAGGTCCCGATAAGATATTTGCCAGAGTATCAAAGGAATGTAAGGAAGAGCTTAGTATGCCCTTAGCAAAGTTGTTTAACATGTCCTTAAAAACGGGTGTAGTACCAGAATCCTGGAAGATAGGGAATGTAATACCGATTTTCAAGAAGGGAGATAGATCACTATCCTCTAACTACCGTCCAATCAGTCTAACATCAATTGTAGGCAAAGTGCTGTAAGCAATCATTTCAAATTCTATTCGAAATCACCTGGAGAAGCACAAGTTGATCAATGATTCCCAACATGGCTTCACAAGAGGGCGTTCATCTAATATGCTACAGGACTAGGCGTGTGTCTGTTTGTGTGTGTGTGTCTGTTCTAGGCAGCCGAAACGGCACAATCGTTTTTCATCAAACTTGGTGGAAAAATCGCAAAAAAATTCGTAGAGTGGAACAAACCTGGTCCCATGTCGATGGTTTCTTTTGGGAGGCATTAGTTAACAATTTTATTTACGATGGAAAACGATGTAAGTCTACGGACTTGGCGCACCCTAATTAACTATGCTAGTCTATGGACTTGGCACACCCTCATTCGCTGTACGCTGTCATGAGCGTTCAAACTCTCACAAGGGCACGAACGTGCCCGCAATCACTTGTGTCTAACTAATCTATTAACATTATTTTCATCTGTTTTCGAAAGACCAATAAGAAAAGTGGAGGCTCATGGCATTAAAGGAAATATTCTAAAATGGATTAGGGCGTGGTTACAGGGCAGGAAACAGTGAGTGAGCAGTAATGGCACTAAATCCGATTGGAGCAACGTCACTAGTGGAGTTCCCCAAGGCTCAGTATCTCTCCTTAGTCTGTACTCACCCCTGATGATGTGTATTACACGAAAGAGCTTGGGAACTTCGTGTTTTCTTGTTTCCTTGTGGTTATCAGCATATATATATATATATAGTGTGTGTGTGTATCGAATTTCATCAGATGGCGCAATGTTAAGGCTAAAATAAAACTTATGCGATCACAGACCGCTGTGATAACGCTCTCATGTGACCATCTTACACCAGGTGACGCAACTCGCGAGCATGTTACTATCCAACCCTCTTAAACGTTTATTTTTTAAGCGCGATGATCTTCATTTCAACGAGCAACATATACTGTATACAGGAGTAACTGAATGTAAAGATCTTTGGACTTGTAATGAAAAGTGGTTTATCAAATCCATAAAAACAGAACAGCACATTAAAATGCTACAAAAGATAGTGGCATTGCATACACGCGTTGCGTCATAAATGCTGAATCACCTTACATCATCATTCTAAAGCCAACGTGACCACCGTCTCCCTTGGGTATAAAGCTGGGTGTACTTGCGTCTCCCCGCATCATTCCTACTCCAGAAACACAGCTGCAGAGATCATCCCTACGACACACTGAAGAGATACTTGACTTGCTTCCTCTACGGTGTCCACACAGCGGAAGGTTAAGTGTAGCAGCTTGAAGGCAGATCTATAAACCAATTTGTGGTGTACCAACCAACAAGGTATTTAGCTATACTTTCTTTTTATCAGCGAGACTTATTACAGAATGAGATCCAGGAAGAATTTCGTGATTGTTGAAGCAAACTTTGTTTTTCATGAAAGCTCCCACAATGAAAGACGTTTAATTTTAAGACTACCACTCGTTTCATAGAATGAATATTGACTTAGTAAATTATGCTGAAAGTTGTTATTAATTATTTGTGTATATGTTAATCAAATATGAGATAATTATTCATATTTATATAATTGTGGGAAAGACATCTATCACTGAAATGATTAAGACGAAAGAGATGAGTTATTTATAAACATCACAACTACTTCAGTTTGCCCTACTGTCTAACAAAGTCAGTAAGAGACGGAAAACAAGGGCATATAATATAAACTAAATCGGTAGACATTTTAGTTATTGCTCTAAGCTGTTTTGGTCAGCCATATGAATGCGTTTCCTGGCCGACAGAGTATTTTTCCTGAATTTCAAGACTATTTGTCTCGTGGCGCTCCTCTACTCCGGACTCACACAGCTTATAACGAATTTTTATCTCCTTGTAATTCATTTCAAAAGTTCATCTACCTTTGAGTCCTTTTTCAAACATTATAACAGCGATTGCAGTACTTTAAAATAAAACTGATAATAATTATAATATTTACAAAGACTTAAAATGAAAAGCTTTTCTTGCATGACTAAATTAATATTATCACTTAAACTATGATCACATTTTCATCTTCAGAATATGTAAGGTGGCCATTTTGTGCACTTCATATTGTTAAAGTCCAGCAAACCAAAGTCGGTATATATTTATCTCAACATTCGACAGTTTTAGTGTTGCTCTTGGGATGCTGCTCACGTGCCCCGAGTGTTACTGGTTTACGCTGGAACCAACCCCAGGCCACCCAACTGTGGATATACCATTTAGGAAAGTAACTGCGGTCGAGTGTAGTGCCGGTCACACTCACACCTTGTATACCGATAAAAAAAGGCTAAATCTATAATTGTGTTTTATTCGTACTGCCTTTCGCGAGCCAAACTTTTGCTATCACGTGATACCTGAAGGTTTTAAATTATGGTCAAACTAAGACAAAAAATAAATCCCTCTGTACTTTATTATCAACCTTACCGAAAACAGTAATATTTCGAGTCAATTTTCTAAATTCGCCGGCGTATTATACTGTGTGTGGAACAAATATATCAAGAGACAATAATGTATACATTACCTTCATTTTAAAATATTAGGCGTATGTAAGGGAAATCAGTCTTGTGAGTGACATTATAGTTACTATTTATGGCCCTAAATACCAAGACAAACAGAAACTGTTGCTGGGGTAAAAAGAGACACTTTACAAATAACTTCAAGTTGGAGATGTGTTACGAGTTGTAGTAGCCTTAAAATGTACAGAAACCGTGTCGCCACATACAGAGGTTCATAATCTCTCGTATCAGTCATTAAATTCTTCCTGGAATGGCCAAGTTGACGGTGCTGGGGAACAACACAGGTGAGTATCGAGCAAAGTTTTTCCTTAATCATTTCTCTTTCAGCCAAAACGTGACGCACCCAAGACCTGCGATATGGCCGCCCACTTCCCCAGAGCCGCCGTGTTCCCAAGATGAGCGTGAGTGTGTGCCAAGGCAGCTCCAGTTGACTGTACGAATAAGAAAGGTTTGTATTTTGAATTTCTTGAACCTCTAGAGTTAGTTACTCATACCAATAACTCTTGCAGCTTCAGCATGTTTCATCCGAGGTTTCCCGGTCCACCTTGTGGTCCCGTAGGCTTCCATGATCCTCGTGGTTGCCATTCTCACCGGCCTCCTTTTCGACCTCCACCATTCATGGGTCGCGGTGGGTTTGCTGGCCACCGGCCGCATGGACCGCATAATAGGCCACTGATGCCACACCACCACCCCTTTGGCCCACCGCCCCATATGTGCCCACTGTTTGGTGGCCACACACGTGGTGGTAGAGGACGTCATGGCATGGGATCGGCAGCTCTTATCGCCGCTACATACTTTCTCGGTCGTCACATGTGGCACGCTGTTGATCCTCACTTCCAGGATGATCTTGAAGAGTTTGTCCCACCATATGGCGCTGAACACTTTCCTCCTCGCCCAGTTTATGCTGAACCACGTAACGCTGAAAAAAACCGTCATGCTGAAAGTTCAGATCATCACATGGATGAAGATGAAAAGTCACCGAGGCAGCCGAATGATGAAGCTGAAGAACAAGAGCAGTTGCAGACTTGTGATATGAATAGTGATGATCTGTGGGTGGCAGTTGGTAGTGAGGTGTGGACTGTGGAGGTGGCGTTGGGACCGTTTGCTGCAAATGAGGTGAAAGTGGACAGCGATGGGCAGACGAGCGTGGAGGTGCATGCCGCCCACTACCATGGAGACTGCCTGGTAGCCTCCATGATGCACCGTCTGCCTCCACCACCATGTGCTGCCCCTTTCACCATCTCTCACGCCCACACTCCCCCCATCGCACTCATTACAGCCCGCAAGGCTCTCTGTCCCTACACCACTGACGCCGAGAAAGATTTGGCGCAACCTAACGCTGATCACACCAATGAGAAAAAAATGTAAAACGTTTTTCAGTAACTGCTCTGCTTATACATAATTCTAGTACTGTTTTACATTCTTTTAATAAAATAGTATCAAACTGGCAAGTTAACTTGTAAGTGCTACAAATAGCTATAACAATAAGTTAGTAGATTTTACTTCTAAATGCATTACATAACATTGTGTAAACCATGATAAACATTCTGCTCGATATCTAAAACGGATATGTCCTGTACCGAGATGCATGTGTTTATAGTTGTGGTTAATTTGAATTAGATTTTAATGTTATATTTCTTGACTTAATAAAGAGTACATATTCCGTGGTTGTGTTTTATTAACAATGTCCAAATATTACAGTGTTGGTAAAGGGTCACTTCTGGGTTGCTGGGAGCCAGTACCGGATTAATGTAATTTTGTACACCAAAAGTAAAGAATTAACTCCAGGTATTTCACTGAGGTTACAGATGAGATAAATTCGTTATAACACCGCACATTAAAATCCATTAGTCTTTTAAGTTTTCGCTTTGATCCAAAAATAATGTTTTAGTCTTTCCAAAATGTAGGAAATATTTATCGTCTTATCCGATGTTTACAAGACTCCAAATCAGTTAACATGTCAACTGTATCCTTTGAATCTCTCCGCAACACTAACAGGGCATCCGAATACAACAAACACTAATGGATATCTCATATACCTAACATAATAAAAACAAAGTTCCCATGAACTCACCACTGTGGTCGCAGGTCAATGACCCACATCAGGACCTGGGGGCGAAAATATAATAATAATAAATACAAATTAATAAAAAAAATAATATAATAATAATAATAATAAAGGACCATAAAGAAATACAAAAATTAAAAACAAATCAGTAGTGAAAAACGATATAAGTACTGCAATTGTGTGTAAATTAGTAGAAAGTCAGATCAGCAACTTGGGACTTCCAATACCTTCCCAGGTGGTAGTACCTCTCTGTTTGATAACTGCCTACTCCGGTTTCCGCTTATACTAACACTACATAATGAAGAACAGACTGACTACCTGAACGACTCGTAAGCCGATAATAGAGATAAATTATAAATAAAGGGAAAAGAACACGAGAACTACCATTTGCAAATGACTCGGTTTTTACTGCGGAATTAGAGACAAAAGGTTAGGTGCCGAGGAGGGTAGAAACATCCACAAAGAGGAAGACTGGAACAGTGGCGGCTCGTGAAAAATAAAATAAGAACATAACATAACATAAGAGGGACTGCAAGCCTCACACAACAGTAGGATACACAAATTTGACCTACCTCAGGTATGAGTTGTAGTTGATGTCCACGAATTCCCAGGGCATGGTAGTAGTGTTGGTGGTGATGGACCAGTATTAATTGAAAATAAAGTCCGCGTGTCTGCTCTTTGATGTAGCAAAATTGTTTATTACTATTTCATTAAAATCCTTTATTTCTGTTATCATTTTATTTTCAATGGATATCACTGCTAAAGCAGACAGTCTGTCATTCTGATAAACACTGATGTTAAACTGGCGTGTATATTCTTTGTTCCTGCTTGTACTGTTCTGTTGAATGGATAAAACTGGTGTAGATCTTCCTCTTGCTTTGATTTCAGTCTTTTCATTTAATGTCAGCTGGGAAAAGTTGATGTTTTGCAAATACTTCACTCGATTTTCCATCGTCAAAAGGTAATTAAAGAAAGCACGATTTAACCACACCGTCCACACGTTGTACGAGACTGAGCTGCTTCAAGTGCAGCGGCGGCGATAACAGACATGAATCGTACAGCATTGACAGCAACAATGAAAGTAACTTAAATTTTGGTCTGATTATAATGAAAATTCACTTAGCAACGTATTGGAAATAATTAAATAACATATAAAATGATATATTTGTTGGTAGTGTATTATTCAGCTGTCTCTCTAAAGGAATCATACGCCTGGCAGTGAGTGTCTGGGAGGACTGCAGCCCTATGCACGAGCCGCCACTGGACTGGAAATTAATACAAGAAAAATATAATTATGACATGTTGAGTGGTAGAGGAGAAACTGAGTAATTGCAAACTCTAGACAGGAAAATAATGTATGAAAACAAGCAAGACGCTTTAACACCAGGGTTCATCTTAGAGTGAGAGAAACTTGTGAAGAGGAGGAGGTCATGGAGAAGGTAAGATCAGCATGAATTAGATGGTACGAAGTTATATGGATCACGTATGACAAGAAAATGCTTAAAAAACTGGCAACAATAATTTCGAAAATAGTGTTTATACCATTTCAGTTCATCCACTACTCTATTTCCAAACCAATGTTTACCTATTTCCCGCCTAAATCTGTCTAATTTAAAACCATTGTTACGAGTTCGCTCCTCGTTGGATAGTTTGAGTACCTTTGTAATGTCCCCTTTGTTTAGCCCTGACTTCCATTTATACACAGCTATCATATCGCCCCTCACTTTACGTCTCTCGAGGGAGTGCAAATTAAGATGCTAGAGTCTAACCTGTCTCTGTACTCAAGGTTCCTAATGCCCGGGATTAGTCTTGTCATTCTCCTCTGAATTCTTTCTAGGGATTACTGGAGTTTGATTACATGTCATAACTAATGGATGCATTTAACAACAGGGAACACTACTCAGTCCAGTGTACATACCTGAACCGCTCACAGCTCAAGGTTGAAGAAGCTAGAAGTCCAGAAAACAGTGATGGCAAACTTGTTCGGAGTGAGAATTGTAAACTCTTGGAACAACCTGCCGAAGAGTGTTGGGACGGCAGCGAGTGTGAGCTCTTTCAAGACCAGACTTGACCAACACTGGAGCAGGTTCAGATATATTCAGGAGACAGTACATGCCCAGTACTTGCCAACAGAGACGTGACTGACAGCCCAAGCGGCCAACAGTCGATCAGTAGCGAAGAGGAAAAACAAAATAAGGACAAATATTTATATCAACGTAAGATTCCGAAAGCTTTCTCATAATTTTTATTTGTTGAAGGACTCTTGTAGTTACTAACCTTGTTCTAGTAACATTATAACGCTAACCTCCTAATATGAATCTAATACGTACTTTCATCTCCTTGAAATTGTGTAAATCAACTTATTCACAAAGTTCAAATATCAAGTAAGTACGCAATTAATAATCAATGACATTAAGGTATTCTATAGATCAACATATATTTGGTAGTTGAACATTGTTAGTTGTTGAGGTTCACACTAACGCTCCCTCACACCGACATGTCAAGAAAGATGTCAACATGCCCGTCTTTAGAGGAGACCCCTGTGGCATAACTTGCTTGATTCTTACATATACCGCAATATTTTACGCAGATTATGTCATTATCAATTGGATTGTGCTACAGACGATGTCCAGCAGGTATGTTAATGATATTATTTTTTCGTGAGGTCCCGCAAAGGTGGTCATTAGAATCGTACTCCTAACAGGTAAAAGCTGCCCTGCACAATTGAGACGAAGCAGGTAAACACTATGAACAATTTTCATCAGCTTTTTCTAAGTTTACATTTGAGGGAGGTTGTTTTAAATTATATATAGCCAAGAATATAGTTAGAATTTGTCAATTCTGAGAACAACACTGCCACCAGAATATGTTTGATTTTGTTCATTTTTTCCACATGTTCTTTACATTATAGTAATGTACCATAAGTATTTTAGGTCAATTTGTAGTTTCGGTTAATATATTGGACTAACCCAGGTTAATATATTGGACTAACTCGCCTGGCTGCATAGCGCCTATGCGGCCTTATCATCTCACGTCCAGAAATGTCTCAATTTCACCATATCATAGTAAGTTCTTTCTGTTTAATATACCGGGGAAGTTAGGTTAGGTTAGGTAGATTTATTTGGTTTGGTTGGTTAGGTCTGTTCTTCATAACCACAAATGTTAAGTAGTGTTTATTTAAAAAATATCCGTTTTTTTAACATTTCCACAAACTATACCAGTCTCCACTATAATATAATAATGAAAATCCGGCGTTCTTATAATTGTTTTCAATCAATTTCACCCGCGGGTTAGTCCTATATAATTACCCTAACCCATGAGCGAGTTATTTTTATTACTGTTTATTTTCTTTAAATATTTTCATCAGTGAGTTTTGATATGATAATCATTTATTGTGGAAATTGTTCGTTTCATAGATAATTAGGCGCCGAGGCGCGCACTAGTTTATCTTGCTGGCGGTAATGAGGCCGTGCTATGCTGAGGGGTTTTTCTTGTGCCCGGGGCAGTTCATTTTTCAGCATTTCGTGTGACGGTTGTCGCCAATCTTACATGGATGTACAGTAATTTGTGAATTTAGGGGTAAAGACAACGAGACCCTTCAAGTGTTTAAAGATCACGGCATTATTCCTTTACATAGAGACTGTTTATTTTCGTACATTATTTTCATCAGTAAGTTCTGACATGATAATCATGTATTGTGGAACTCGCCAATACAATAAATCACTCCGCTGCCTGAGCTCCTTAGCGCTGTTGCACCCGCATCATCTCACTTCCAGAAAATGCCTCAACTTTCACCATATCATAGTAAGTTCTTTCTGTTTAATATACTTGGGGGTCCGGAGGAGCAGAGCCCCCGGTAAGAAGTTAGGTAAGGTTAGGTAGGTTTGTTTGGTTAGGTTGGTTAGGTCTGTTCTTCATACCCACAAATGTTAAGTAACGTTTTTTTTTAAATATCCAATTTTTAACATATTTCCACAAACTACGACAGTGTCCACTATAATATAACTGTGAAAATACGGTGCTTTCATAATCTTTTCAATCAATTTCGCCCACTGGTTATTCCTATATAATTACCGTAGTTTCGACTAACCACGGCTCTCGAGTTGATCAATGTGCTTTTCCGATAGTTTAGACAATTTTAAGACAGGCAGATGACTTAAAAATACCGAGGGATCTGGTTAGGAGGTTAGATTAGGTAATTTTAGGTAATTTGCAAGAGAAACGTCATAGAAGAAAAGTGTCTTCAAATTGTCTAAACCACCGGAAAATCACATTGCTCAAATCAAGAGCCAACGTTGGTGTATAAACTACAAATTGACCGTATTTAACCCTTCGGCTCCGGGAGGTTACCCTAAGCTGGATAAAATCGTCTGGCAGTAGCCAAAATAAAATGTCGTGAAGTGCAGAAATTCAGCAAAAGGGTTAAAGGTGGCAACAAATTTTTATTTTTATTATAAATATTTTTTTATTTTAGTTTTTAGTTTTTCTCACCTGTACTGGGCAGGGCATAAAGGAATGAAGGAAATTTGGGGGTAAAACATTGTGAAAACCTGATCATATGACACTAAAATGATGTCTGTGTGCTTTGCATGTGAAGAGATTAATTATATACGGTACTTTAACTACTCCTCAGAAAAATCTGCTAAGTCAGCACTTGTCTGTTTGTTTATAACCGATCTGCTCAAGACTCTCACGTCCACTCAAAATGTAAAATTACATCATGATGTTTCATCGAAGTTACTTTCATTGGTACCAAATATCATAAGTACTTTCTGTTTAATGTGGCAGCCTGAGCCCTCTGGCTTGGAAGTTAGGTAAGGTCAGGTGGTAGTTTTTTTTTTCGAGGAATAGCCCACCTCAGCACAGGTCATATACACCACGAAGATGCTGAAAAACCAGCTTTTTGAAGTAAGGAAACAGAAGAAGGCAGAGCATTCCACAGTTTGGCTGTGTGAGGAAAGAAGGATGTATACTATAACAGTTTATTCTAGTGTGACCGACATCCACACAGAAACGATGGACACCGCGGGCAAGACGAGTGTTACGAGCCCACAACCTTACCGGCAGTACACAGGATGCCAAATCCACCGAACATTTCCCGTTAAAGTACAGTACCTGTAAAAGAGAGAAAGTGAAGCAACATTGCAGCGAAGAGAAAGGGAAGAAAGATTATCAACTGGAGGAGGAGAGTCAATAAGATGAAATGCCTATGATTCCACCCTATCTAACAGTTGGGCAGAAGAAGAGCCACCCCAGATATGAGAGCAGTACTCCAAGTTAGGATGAATGAATCCCTTATAAATTTGAAGCAACTGTTCAGGAGTTAAGTAGCTATGGCATCTGTGTGGCTTATATGACATATTAGAGGAAATAGTGAGGCCTAGCATATCTACGTATTTTAGAATTTGGCAGAATGATTGCATCCTGAAATGTCAGGTTCTATTAGGTTCAAGTTTATGTTACCTCTTTTTAAATACTTACTGTAATGATAAGAACATTTGTTGAAAAAATGAACAAAATCAAACAACGCCTTCTGGTGGTAGTGCTGTACTCAGGCATTACCAAATATAAAAAAGGATAATACTCAGTTTAATACTTAAAACCATTTGTGCACCTTAACTACTTAATGATTAACATTTCACCATAGAACATGTATGAACACTTTCTTATTTTATGAAATTGATGAAAAGTGCATGACCAATACATTTACGTTAATCACTTTTACACTTTTTAAATCTTTCTTCTGCAGAAAGGACTCCAAACTCCACCTGGCATGTTTGTAGTAGGGTTTCTTACTTTTAGGTTTTTTCAACATCCTGGGATTCTGGGACAAAAACCAGTCCCTATCCCAGGATCCTGGGATTTCCCTGTTTATGGAAATAAGGGTACTTATACGCGAAAATTAACAAAACCTGTGTACTTATTTAAAAAAGAAAAAGCTTTAACATAGCATAGTGCTGTACTGCATAATATTTATGCATTAATGTTATAGTCATATCATTAGAACAAAAATTATTTCTCATAAAATTGAACACAAAACATTATTACAGTATACACAGTTCTTCTTGGACTCCGATTAAACTAAAAGTACAGTTACTGTACCTGCATTGGTAAAATAGCCCATTTATTTCGTAAGCACTACAATACATTCAGTAGCATGTTCTTTTTTATCTATGTTGAAAAATAATATACAGAAGCAGTATATAATGATTTTAAATACATTACCACTATCTTCATCTGTGTCTACTCAGGTTGCTTTAAGCTACTGTACTTCATTAAATCATTGCATTCAACTATCTTTATGCAATTGATATTATTTTATTGTTAATAATTAAATATGCCTCCATGAATGTCAATCTCAATATTATGTATCATTTCATAATACAGTACTGTACAGTAATGGCTAATACTGTACAAGCAAAATTATAGATTTTAAAACATGCGGAGTATCTACTCAGGCCAGACCGCAGACCATAGCTCCCCACTCTACGTTTCCTGCCACGAATTAGTCTGCATAAGACATAAATGGTGTGAAGCATGTGCCATGTGACCACCAAGTAAGCACCAATGGACATGATGGGAATGTGTATTTTTTTTTGTGAGCATTTTTTTTATTTTTTAACAAGTACTGTATTTATTAACAAGAACACTAATCTCTTAGATACAACTTAACATTACAGTGTTTCATCACACTTATGATTTAGACCCTATTTTACCAATACACTGTGCATGGCACCACCTCTCATTGTACACTTTGGGAACCGAGTTTCTACCAAAAAATTTTTTTCATTTGTGTTTTGTATTTTACCTTTTCTTCATGTGATTACTGTACTGTATACAGTATATACTGTATAGTGTTATGCAGTACACAGTAATACAGTACAGGTATAATTTTTTTTAAGGCTATAAGAGTTTAAAACTATTTTTAATACTGTACTGTAACATACTATAATTTTTAGCTGACAGTCTTGTTTAATCTTGCAGCTTATGGGGAGCATTACATGTACTTTTATTCAACATACTCGTCTTCTTGACACTAATGGCACACGTGCGAGCAGTCTTCAGTGACCCAGGGATTGTGCCTCTGCCCCAAAGTCGGTTGGATTTTTCAGATATGCATGCAGGTTAGTACTGTGCAGTTTTACAATGGTCACCAACATTGTTCAGTAACATTCTGAGAGAAAAAAAAGATGGTTGGTGCCCAATTTGCATTTACAGTACAATACCTGTATTATTCTAATTTTGTATCTGCATTTAAGTAAGGTAAAATGTTGTAAGCTTTAAGGAAACCTAAATATTTTTACACAAAAGACAAATAGTACGTGGGGATTTTAACAGAATTTAGCACAGTAGTACTTGTATTGTGGTATAAGATGAAGATTTATTCGCTTTCACAAAGACATTCAGACTCAGCATCCATCTGAGGTTATGCCTGAGGCTGTATTCTTTTGTGTGGGACCACAAGTTTCAGCTTGTCTGATACTTGGGAAATTTTGACAACTTTGGTGTAATTCGATCAATTTGGTCTCAGTGTTGATAAATTGATGAGTTCAATAATTTGACCTCTCCAAAAATTTCCAATTTATCATAAAAGTTCAAATTAGGGGAGTTCAAGCATACATCACAGAATATTCCCCACAAAAATAATTTAATTTTTTTAAATGCAAATTGCCTCTAATAATAACAGAATGATGAAACATGAGCAAATAAATTTGGCTCTACATCGACTCTTAACAGTTCTTGCACGTTACACTAATTTCTTACCTAGATTCCAGCCATCTCTAAATATTTAGATTTTTTTTTTTATAACCTTATTCACATTTCGAAAAAGCTCAGTACAGTACAGTACAGTGAAAAGAAGGGAGTTGTAGTCACCACTGCAGAACTTAGGTACGTTACCAACAACAACTGCCAATTTTGCCTCCTGAATGGTTCCTTCTAGCTTTGAGAATATGTATTCTGATAATTTTTCAGTTTTTTACCGAGAATTATCATATTCACTTACATACTGGACTTAAGGAATTGGATATAGCAAAATATTTGGTCACATTACAATATAATGTACTGTATACTACTGTAAACATGACCAGCTGTGAAAGCAACCCAAGTGAAACTACCAGCAGTAGCGTGCTTGCCTCTCACGACTGCATCATGGGTTCAATCCCCTGTTCAGACGTGAGGAGAATGTTTTTCACTGTCTCACTACCAAACATCATAGGTTTTCTTCTGCTACAGTTTTCCAGTTTTCTCCTGTACTAACACTGGACAATGAAGGTCTTAACAAAGAACAGACCAACCACCTGAACTGTTGGTAAGCTGACAAGGGGAGTAAATGATAAAAAAACAAAGCAGGTGAAGAATGGCACCAAGCACCGGAGAGTTCAAAACAAACAAGCTAAGCATGTTTGCAGTGTATGTATCTGCAGATGTATGTACATTAGGTTAGACATGTGGTATTATAAAATGCACATATTCACAGAGATATAGTCAAAGAAAAAAGTCGTGTTACACCCCTCTAGTGTTATGTTCCAAAATCCATGATGAAGAATTTGGTTAAAGTGACAGCAAAGCTTTGAGATTTAAGTCTGAATAGGGAACTTTACCAAAATTCGTCATCTTGGATTTCAGAACATACAGCATGAATAACATAATGCAACTTTTTTCTTTGACTGGATGTACTGGATGTATTTTCTAAGGTGATATTGACTCTACAGTATTGTACTCCTTGTGCAAGGTATTTTTCATCATCATTACTATTTTGTGGCTGTTTTTCATGCTTGTATGGATTAGCCATGATTGCCTGCTGGTATGGTATCCTGGCTGCTGTCAGGCAAATTTGAAGCAAGATTTATGTCTGGATGCTCTTCCTTTTGTCATCCCACCTTTATGGAGTGGGAACCGGGCATTATATGTAGGACTTCTAAGTACAGTACAGTACCCTTTTAGCTGGCAAGGGAGGATTGGTACTCCTTAAGCAGGGAGTGCTTGTTAAATTCATGCAATGTACAGTAATATAAATTACTGTTTTTGTGTGGGTTTGTTTTCAAGACAGATACTGTAGGTATAAACTAATTATCTTTCCTTCGCTTACTTTTCCATACACAGGAGGAGAAAAAAATGATGATTGGACAGTATGTGCCAGATGTGAAATGTATCGGCCACCACGGGCACACCACTGCCGTATATGTCAGCGTTGTATACGCCGAATGGACCATCATTGTCCATGGTATGATGGGCTATAATTTTCAGAAGAAAATTCACTGCTTATTTTTATATATTTCAAAGTTTTGGAACAAAATTCATCATATAATAACTTGTTCGTCTTTGATTGCATTGTATGATTAATTTATTATGTTTCAGGATTAACAACTGTGTTGGAGAATGGAACCAGAAGTATTTCTTGCAGTTTTTGATGTTTGTTGGTCTGATGTCTATATATGCAATGAGTCTCATTGCATATTCTTGGATTAAGGCTTGTCCAGAATGCTCTAAAGACATGATGGTGAAACAGGGCCGATTGTGAGTACAATTTACTGTACCTCTAAAATATAAAATTTTAATTTCATTTTTGAGAACAGGTTATACCAGTATAGAGTCAATTTCATTTGTTACTGAATGTGACATTAAAGTAAATCTCTATTTTTAAAAAGTAGTGTGACTGCTTACACACTTTCCTTGCCTTTGAATATTTAATATTTCAGTTATAATACATTGAGTTTTGATTTGGGATAATTTTTACTTGCACTGGCTACTTTATATATACTATGTGCAATTTGTACGTATGATAATACAGTATGTGTATATAATTTTATCTTACCTGCAATACCTCATTCTGTAAGGGAGCTCCCCTTTGAGGGAGTGTCTGTGATAACTTAGCCATCAGGCTATACTATTACTATGATTTTTCCACCTTTTTTCTCCTTCATGTACTAATCCTTCTTCCACAGTACTGTATAGACTGTTTCTCTTCTGGCATCTTTTTCACATGTCCATATCATCTTAGAACTCCTCTCTTCACTTAGTTACTACTCCACAGCTTACCTTTGCCTACTTAGCCAATTTAAGTATCCCATAAACTTTACTCTGTCTTATTTCCTTCATCCAGGTACCGGGTAGTCCTAAAATGATGCAGTCATTTGACAACTTGTTTCTGTAGCTTGAAAATTTATACTACTTTCCAAACCTGTGTATCATATGAGGCGCTCCGCATTACAAGGGGGTGAAGCGCCAAATTTAAAAAGCGAAGAAAAACACGTTTAAGGTATTTTTAAATTTAAACAACCATAATTTTGTTATTTTTCAGCTAGAAGGTTCACTTTATTTATATTGCAGCTCAATCTCTCTCCTAGCGAACAGTGAAAACTGGAAGTTAGTACTGTAAATAGTTATTATTTTATCGCGAGTTGAATGAAAATAACTACCCATCGTGTTTCTGTAGTTATGAAAATATGCTAAATAATGCTCACTATTTTCACTTATTTCATTATTCTCTAACATTCACAATGTAATGATAGTAAGCTTACAAATAAGCTCTCAGTGAGTCATCATTCTCCTACGCTCACCATACTGTATAACTTAACCTTAAACTCAGGTGAGAACAAATACAGCAGGTCTGGGTTTGAGAGATTTCCGGTGTACTGTATTGAGACAAATTTTCTTGTCTCGAGAAAAATTACACATATACCCTGTACAGAATTTTTCTGGGCACTGATAAATGTTTCTTCATCAGATTCCAGTTGGACAGATACAGAGCTGTATTTATTTCTGTAGACCCTGCTGTACACATACAATATATTCTAAATAAACAAAATATAATACATGTACTGTATAGTGTATACTGTACACTATAACCCTGTACTCACCAGCAGATGCATTGTCTTGAACTTGTGATGCAGGCAGGCCAAATGGTGGTATGATATTACAGGATGGCCTGCCTTTGTCCTGTACCATTTACTGTAGTAGGTGTTTTTTTTGTTTTTTTTACGGGGATTAGCCTACCCAGGCACAGGTCACTGACCCACATCGGGGCGAAAATGTAATAATGATAATAATAATAATAATAATAATAATAATAATAATAATAATAACAATAATAACAATAATAACAATAATACAGCTACTCCTCGACTTACGACCTATTCGACTTAAGACCACCCGGACATATGACCGCCGCAGTCGTATAAAATATTTTTCAAATTGCGTATTTTCGAGTCCCGACGCTCATTTTAGATTTTCTATGTATTATTTTCGCATTTTCGACTTAAGACCTGGTCGTCGGTCCCTAACCTCATCGTAAGTCAAGGACTGACTGTAATAATAATTCATAGTAAATAAAATTTCTAATAAATAATACAAAATTTAAAATAAAATAATAATGATAATAATAATAATAACAACAACATTGTAATAATAATAATAATAATAATAATAATAATTATTATAAAGAACCATAAAGAAATACAAAAATTAAAAAAAGATCAAAAGTGAGAAACAATATACTGTATGTATGTTGTGTTGTCAATAGTGAGAGAAACAATTGAGACCCTGCAATTGTGTAAATGAGGCAGAAAGTCAGATCAGCAACCTGGGACTTGGTCACAATTTATGTGATGCCATATGGCAGCAGGATCCACCATTAGACAACACATTATGCTTCCAATATCTTCCCAGGCGGCAGTACCTCCCTGTTTGGTAGTTACCGACTACCTACTGTCACTCTCCTCTCCCGCCATTCATGAAGGAAAGATTGTACATGCACTGTATACTGTACATGCAGTACACCCTTTACACACTTGCCTACAGTAGACATACAGTGGTCACTTTGGTATTTACAGTACAGTGAGTTCTGCTGTAACGCGTGTTTTGACAACGCGAATTGGCTCTGACATGATTTATGAATAGAGGAACGATATTTGTATAACGCGAACGCTTGTTTGCTATAACGCGATTTTTGCTTACTATTTCTCCAATTTTGTGGTATTAACTGTGAATATGGTAAAGAGGAATATCTCCAAGAAGCGTTCTGGTGATCGCATTCCCGGTGATGATCATAAAAGAAAGGCTATAACCCTTGAAGAGAAGCTCGATGTTATCAACCTCAAAATCACCCTTCTCCCCCATCAAGATATATTCATATTTTTTCAAGGTAAAGTGTTACATTTACTGTATGATTTCATTATTAGATATGAATGTAACATTTATTTAGACTGTGCTAACCTTTGTGTTAGGCGACCTACTAAATTTTTTTTGATTTCGAGTAGTAATCTGCACCTAACCGTATTTTCTCCATAAGCCCTGTTATTTCTATTACGCGAATTTCTATAAAATGATGTTTTACAAGAACAGAACTATCGCGTTATAGCAGAACTGACTGTACTGTACATTTGCCTCCATTTATAAAGGGTACAGTGGCTGGTGTGTTTTGTGAGATGTGACACCACTGCCCACCAGACAACTGATAGTATCCAATGACATTTTACTTGGTAATCTATATTAAGACTATAACCATGCAGGAAATGCATGCATTCACAGTTAGAGGAGGACTGCTTGTTATCATTCATCGTCTGGTTACTATAGCGAGGGTAATTTTGTCCATTTTGCAAGTTTTACTATGTACACAAACAGTGGTGCCACATCTCACAAAACACGGTAGTCACTGTACCAGTTATAAATGGAGGCGACTGTATAATGCAGTACTTTCACACTTACAGAAGTATATGTAACTGTAATCACTGTTTACATCTTAACACTGTTTTAATAGTATTCTTGGCTGATTGTATCCTGGTACAGTAATGTACTACTGTACTGTACTGCACAATACAGATCGTATGTGAAAACAGCAGGGAGCAAGTGAACAAAATTGTACTGTACAATGGCAGCAGATAATATACTAAGAGTGTCATAATGCTAGAGTTTGAGGAGGTAGACTGTGAGATACATCAGCCAATCATAGGCATACCATGCAGTTATGTGACAATAGTAGCCAGTTGTAGCTTACGAGAACTCTGAGCCTACCCACCCACGTGCTCAGCACGTTTTGTGAATACGTACCTATTTCCTGATCACATTTCAAATGAACCCGTTAATTTTTTTTTTAATAATCTTCACCTTTGAATACATAACCAAGTGAAAATTATAGAGGCTTTTTTCATTTTTTAAGAGAAATGTTAATTAGGTTTTTTTGCCAAATTATATATGTATTTTTTTTAATAACAAAATCATGTCATTGAATCTACCTTAACAAGAAATATTGAATTATTCCAAAGTATTGAATTGTGAATACTGTATTGAATCAGTGAGGATTCAGTCTGTATCTTTTAGTGAACCTTCAGTACAGGTATTTCGCTAAATACAGCCATAATTTGTAAAGATAATTTTTACTATGCAGCATAGAAAAACAGAAAGAATTGGTAGATAATTTCAGTGAAATTTGCGAGGCATACAGTTATGATCTATTTGACTTATTTAGTGTTTTGGACACAGAACCCAGATAATACCTGCTTCAAATTAGCAAGGGCTCAGTGTATTTGTAAAGAGCTACTGATAACCTGAGGCCATAGGCATTGGTATAACCTCAGCTCACCCACTCTGTGCTGAGCTACAACTGTTTACCAACACTTACATTACTGTTTAGTATGCTGCCTACCTCTAACATTTATTACACACCGATATTGATTTTGGAAGGTTTTGTGTTCCTGAAAAAAACTTTAGTAAATCAAAATTGTACATGGAAGCAGATTTTCCCATAGACTACAGGGTACCATTATAAATTGAAAATACAAGATGTCTCAAAAGTCCCCATGCTCAAAGTTTGTCAATTTATAGTAGTTTAATGGCTAACAATAGCCATCCATGGTTTCCCACGGCACATGCTGGCAACATCGCAGAAGATTGCTGAGTAATGTACCAGTCGCGTGACTTTACGCATGAGCGGGTAGAGGGAGATACGTGTGAATCAGTCGACAATGAGGCTTAAGCGGGCACACAGGGTCGCTGTGTTGGAGACGTACTTTGAGTGCAAATCTTATCAACAGTGTCTTGAAATATTTAGAAGGAGATTCCCCGATAGCCCGACACCATGTAAGGCTACTGTTTATGAACTGGTGAAGCGTTTTTGTGACACAGGAAGTGTGAAAGACAGACCAAGAACCAGGCGGCGGTCAGTAGTGACACCGGAGTTTGTTGCAATCTCCCCGTAAGTCATTGCGGTGTTTGTCACAGCAAGTGGGAGCATCTCATTCAGCCGTTCACAGGGCTGTTAAACATTTAAAGTTACGTTTCACACAGAGTCAGGGTAATGCAGCGTCCATTGGACACAGACAAGCATGTTCACTACTGCCGTTGGTTCAACAGGTTCACACACAACACTGTCACAGTGCTGGACATGACATTTTTCACGGACGAGGCTTGGTTTCATTTAACCCTTTGACGACAGTAGTTTAACCCTTTGATGATAATGGTTTTACCCTTTGACGACGATGGTTTAGCCCTTTGACGATGATGGTTTAACCCTTTGACGATGATGGTTTAACCCTTTGAGGACGATGGTTTGACCCTTTGACGACAATGGTTTAACCCTTTGATGACGATGGCCTAACCCTTTGATGACGATGGTTTAACCCTTCGACGACAATGATTTAACCCTTTGACGAAGATGATCTAACCCTCCAGGACTCAAAGGGTTAAACAGGTATGTAAATTCTAAAAAGATACACACAAAACACAAAAATAAATAATAATGTGAAAATATTCTCACAAATAATCAGAAACAAATTTATTAAAAATGTGACAGTCTACCCTCAAAGTCCGTTCTCTATTGCATTACTTTCTTAATAGAGCACGGACTTGAGGGTAGACTGTCACATTTTTAATAAAATTGTTAATGATTATTTGTAAGAAGATTTTCCAAATATTACTTATTTGTATGTGTTTTGTGTGTGTGTGTGTGTATATGTATGTATGTATGTGTGTGTCTACACACACACACACACACACACATATACAGTACTACAGGTAAAAGAAATAATTGTTCTAAGGGCAAACACATAAGGGAATATACATTTCTTTGTACACAAGTAAAATGTAACCCCCCCACCCCCCCCTGGTCTGCAAATGTTATTTGCGGATTTGGCAATTCGCGGCCATTTTGAGAACCTAACTCCAGTGAATTTTGAGGACCCTCTGTACCGTGTAAGTGCAGTATTTGTACAGTATGGCATTCCTTGTAGTTCAAACTGGTTGGCAGAAGTTTATCACTAAAGGAAAATGTGAGTCCATATTTCATGCAAACTATCAGGAGGTATAGATTTTCTCTCTCTTTCAGGTTGCATTCTGTAATATTGAGTATGGAAAGTATTTTGTTTGGCTTGTTTGTTATTGCCATCATGTGGGACCAAATGCAAGCTATCCTCACTGATGAGACAGCTGTTGAACAGGTAAGTGATGCATATCTTTTTGTAGTCATTTGTTCCTAACTAATGTAGACCATTAGCAATAGTTCATCATGTACTACAGTACACTGTATATAATATTAGTATAATTTAATTTAATTTAGTGTTATAAGATTCCTCATACTTTTAAAAGCTCTCACTTGTATAATGCAAGTCTCTATGAATATTATGCAATCTTATGCTGGTGTTTAAGATGCATTTTCCCCCCTAAAAATCACCCTTTGTCATATATATCCACCAAAGATTGTTGTACTAATATTAACCCCTTCACTATAGGGATACTACTTTTAATATTTTGAGTAAAAGACGATTTTGTTCAATAAAGAGAGACCCCCCATACATAAGTGGTTAAGAAGTTTAATGGTTGGTTCGATGTACAGTATGAGCCCTCATACTAAAGATTACCCATTTATGGTACCAAAGAGTGGATATTAATGAAATGCAGTTTGGGTTTATGACTGTAGAGGCAATATTTATTGCCAGGCTACTATAAGAAAATATAGTAAGGAGAGAAAGCTGTACCTCGTATTTGTAGACTTAGATGAGGCATTTGGGAGAGTGCTTCATGAATTAGTGCAGTAAACAATGAGAGAGTTAGGGGCAAAGGCATGTATTGTACTAGTGTTTATTACATTGTACAAGGGCTTGAGAACCTTTGTGAGTCTAAATGATGAAAAAGTGAGGAATTTGAGATGAAAGTAGGGATCCATCAAGAGTCTGCCTTGAGCCTCCTTCTGTTTACCGTGGTATTAGAGGAACTATTGCAAGATTTTAGGACTGGTCTGCCCTGGGAGTTCTAGTATGCTGATGACTTAATGTTGATGGTAGATTGTTTGAGATTGAGAAGGCAGTGAAGAAATATAAGAATTGTAAATATAGAATGGACTCAAAGGGTTTGAAAGTGAATAAGGTGAGAACAAAAGTGATGATTAATTACATGAGGGAAGAGTATGTGGTGGAAAGTGGAAAAATGGCTATGTGCTGTCTGTAAGAAGGATGTTGCAGTACTCTAATCCAATAATGTATGGCGAGTGTGAAAGGTGAGTACACAAGAGGTGCTTAGCTGTAAATGGCAGACTGCAGGATGGTGCTGAGTGCTGTGTGTGCAGGTAATCATGTGGCCTTAGCAAGGTTGAAAAAGCTTGACTTTGGGATACAGTATATCCTTGGACTGTGTTGGTGAATTCTGCTATGTGGATGATATGATCAGTGCTGGAGGTGCTGCTGAGGCTTGCTCCCCTAACTGTATTTCATCATTTGGTTACCACAATGCATTGTTGAGGGAGATCTGCGGTGGTTTTGGCAGAGGTGTATGTAATTTTGTATGAGAGTGATGTTAAAAGGGCTATTTCAAAGTGTACTGTGATCAATTCTATCAAATTTGAAGACCTAAGACAATGGTTTATATGTAGAGGGTTTTTTGCAGCCAACAGCTTGTTTGATTAGAAGGAAAGTCACTTCACCACAAATAAGAACTATCACTTGCAAGAAGTGAACTGTGATTACATAAGTTCGTCAAGATCGTCTTAGTGATGTGAAAGTGTAAATCGATGTAGGACTTTTAATGCTAGACACGATTGTATTTTTGAAAACTCAATTTCCACCGAGTTGGAGGTACAGCCAGGGTCACAGGCCTATAACCACACAATCACTGCCACATGACAAAGCTTTTATTTTATTTTATTTTTTAGGGTGTTGTGGTCACGGCTGTGATATAGGCCAACCAGGGAGTGTAGTACTGTGCCTTCAGTTAAATCACTTCATAGTTGTCATCAGTGAATGCAGAAGAGACTATAAATAACTTAAAGTGAATACATATTGGCATTCAAGCTGGTAAGGACAACTGCCAGCCTATTCGTGTCATAGGTGCCACAAAGACTTTAAATTTTATTTTGTTTGTGTGCTTTCTCAAGGACTGAAACTGTGCCTACAATACACCATTCACAGGGAGATACAGTGTATGCAGTCGCAGACGACAACTCTATAGGCAACAGAGAGTAGCTAAGTACTTTTTCTCTCTTTATTTTTTTAAATAGGTGTAGATTTATACACAGTCTGCACCCCCCCCCCCACAACAACAACAACAACCATGAGTTTGATATGTGATTACTGCAGGGAGACGTCGGATATGGAGGATACAGGCCTGACTAATGCAACGTTTAGAAAGTTACTAACTGCCGTAAAGCATGATGGCTGTTGCTGGTATTGCTCTGGCTGCATAGTCAAGGTGAATGAAGCGATTGCAAGCCATAAGGGAACGAGTTCTCTAGGGACGAAAATAGATGAAGCAGGAGCCCTGCTGGTTGACAAACTGGAGCAAGTTGGGAAAGAGATCCTTGCTAAGACTGAGGAAGTAGCTGATAGAATGGAGGTGGTTGCTAAGAGGAGTTGTGCTGACGTATTAGGAGGGCCACGGAGGGGGGCGGAGAGTAATGCAGAATCAGTACAGGTTCTACAGCAGATTGGAACTTTGAAGAAGTGTGTCGAAGAAATGAAAATTAACGGACCTACTGTTAGGGGAGAGGAGGAACACCAGGAACGTCTCCAGCGCAGGAACAATGTAATAGTTTTTGGAGTCACCGAGAGCCAGGCGGAGGGAACTGTGAGTAAGGAAACACACGATAAGGTGCTGTTTCAAAATATTTGCACAGAGGTTCTGGAGATTCCAGCAACCCCTCAGGATGTGAGGAGGCTGGGACAAAAGCAGGGGGCTAAGCCTCGCCCCCTCAGGATCACACTAGTGAGTGAGGAGGAGAAATGGCAAGTTATTCGGCAGGCAAAAAACTTAGCAAGGAGCGAGGCATTTCGGGATGTATTCATTCACCCAGACCGCACGGTTATGCAGAGGGAACAGCACAAGAAGCTCCTGCAGGACTTGAAGCAGAAGAGGGAGGAGTCGAGGAGGAACGGGGACAGGTGTACATGGGTTATACTCAGGGGGAGGGTAGTGGAAACAAGTGTGCCGACACAGGGCCAGGGGGCAGCAGTGCACCCTCCACCCACTCAACCCCCCACCCGGGAGGCGGCACCAGCTCAGCCTACCGGACAGGAGGGAACGAGCGCCGTGTAAACAATGACATTTCTAACCACACCCTGCAAAATACAGTGTACTTAGCAAATGCTGCAGCTTCTGAGAATGTGGGGGGAGCGGGTTTATTACTAAAAGCAGAGACGTTACCGAGAACAAATTCTGGCTTGAATGTCATGTACACTAATACTGACACGTTCCTTGATAAGAGAGAGGAGTTTGAAACACTACTAAGAGTACACCAACCAGATATTGTAGGAGTTGTAGAACTGTTGTACAAGAACAGGAGAATCGACCCAGAGGAATGTGAGTTCAGTATTGCTGGATATGACTCATTTACGAACCTAACTCAAGAATCCTGCAGGAGGGGTGTGGTTATCTACGCTAGGCAAGACCTTAGAGCCAGCCAGGCGAGGGTACAGGGAGAGGATGTTTTTGAAGAGTCCAAGTGGTGTAAAATTAAATTAAAGGGAGGGGACTTACTTATCGTCGGGTGTATCTACAGATCCCCAAACTGTGGCCCACTAAATCAAAGGAACTTAAGAACCTTAATAAACAATGCGGCGATGCTCAACCCTAGCCACCTCCTTATCATGGGGGACTTTAACTATGGCGACATCGACTGGAGAAACGAGTCCACCCCGAATGACTTGAATAACCCTGCTACTCTTTTTGTAGAAACTCTGAGAGATAATTTTCTGTTCCAACATGTGAGAGACCCGACACATTACAGAGGGGAGCAAACACCCAAGCCACTTGACCTCATCATAACAAACGAGGAGGGTATGGTGGCCAAACTGGAACACCTTGCCCCAGTTGGCACCAGTCACCATACAGTGTTGTCATTCAGATTTAACTGTTACCTAGTTCAAGATAAGGCCAGGCCAAGGTGCAAATATTACAAGGGAAATTACAATGGGATGAGGGAAGAGATGAGGGGTATCAACTGGCCTGACTTATTAAGGTACAAGAACGCAGACACTACGCTGAATATCATAACTAGTAAAATGACCCATTTGATCGATAAATATATACCCAAGACCAAACCCAGTGCTTCTAAGAATACGAGGGGATTCCTATACATGACCCATGCGGCGGTCGACAAAATTAAGAAGAAAACCCAGAAATTCAAGACGTGGGTTGGGTCAAACGATGAGCAAGACAGGAGGATGTATGCAAGAGCCAGAAACCAAGCAAAGATAGAGTGTAGGAGGGCTGAAAAGGAGTTCCAGAGGCTGGTTGCACGCGAGGTCAAGTCAAACCCAAAGGCGTTTTACCGCTATGCAAAGTCGAAATTGAAAACGCGAGTAGGAGTATCAGACCTGAGGCTTGAAGATGGTAGTTATGCAGATTCTGACCAGGATAAAGCTGAGGCATTGAACAGCTTCTTTTCCTCAGTGTTCACAAGAGAGGATGCAACTAACCTTCCTGCGTTTGAGGACAGACGGTTCGACACAGCACTGACCCACATTGTGTTCACAGAAGAGGGTATTAGAAATAAACTGTCCAGGCTAAAGGTCCATAAGAGTCCCGGACCTGACATGGTGCATCCTAGAGTGCTAAGAGAGCTGTGCAACGAGCTTGCAGAGCCCCTGAAGATTCTGTTTTGTAAATGCCTGGATGAACAAATGGTCCCCTGTGAATGGAAAGTGGCTTATGTGAGTCCTATCTTCAAGAAGGGCGATAGTCACTCCACGAATAACTATAGACCGGTGAGCCTGACCAGCATAATATGTAAAGTACTTGAGAGTATTATCAGAGATGCTGCGATGGAACATCTACTACGAAACAACCTTGTAAAAGATTGCCAACACGGTTTTATGCCGGGGCGCTCTTGCTTAACACAATTGCTCAAGGTATTGGATATTTGGACCCATATTCTAGAACAGGGTGGTAATATCGACAATATTTACCTAGATTTTGCCAAGGCTTTCGACAGTGTACCCCACGAAAGGCTGAAAATCAAACTGGAAGGGTACGGAATTCGGGGAAATGTCCTAGCGTGGATAGAAGATTTTCTACATGACCGCAAGCAATGTGTGGTGATTAATGGCACGAAATCGTCATCTGTACCTGTAACAAGTGGGGTACCGCAGGGTAGTGTATTGGGCCCGCTGTTGTTTGTTTGTTTCATAAATGATATGCCTGACGTTGTACACTCCTCCATACAAATGTTTGCCGATGATGGCAAGTTATTTCGGGAAATTAAGAACCAAGCGGACTGTGAAGAGCTGCAGAAGGACCTCTGTGGGCTCCAGGAATGGTCGAAGGAATGGCTGCTGAAATTCAATGTCACGAAGTGTAAGAGGATGCACCTGGGGCGTACCAACGGTAAGGAGGCGTATCATATGTCCCAACGGGATGAAGAAAATGCACTAGTTGAGACTGTGTGTGAGAAGGACCTAGGTGTGTATGTTGACAATGAGCTGAAGTTCTCGGGCCATTGTGAGAAGAAGGTAAATCAGGCAAATAAATTATTGGGTCTTATAAGAAGGTCGTTCAGATATCTAGACGGTCCGTCCCTCGTGACGATCTTCAGGAGTGAAGTGCTTCCCCATCTGGAGTACTGTCACCCCATCTGGTCCCCGAGATATGCTAGGGACTGTCAGTTGGTTGAAAATGTTCAAAGGAGGGCCACCAAACTGGTGCCTGCACTTCGGCACCTCAGCTACCCTGAGAGATTGGAGCGCCTGAACTTGCCTAGCTTATACTACAGACGGGCAAGGGGGGACCTAGTTGAGGTTTATAAGCATCTCAGGGGGCACTACTCAGTTGAGTGTCCTTACTTGGAGCTGGCGGACGCTCGCCCCACAAGGGGTCACAGCTCAAGATTGAAGAAGCCGCAAGTCCAGAAAACCGTGAGGGCAAACTTTTTCGGAGTGAGGGTTGTGAACTCTTGGAACAATCTACCAGAGAGTGTTGTGACGGCACCGAGTGTGAGCTCTTTCAAGAGAAGACTTGACCAACACTGGAGCGGGTTCAGGTACATTCAGGAGCCGGTGCATGCCCAGTATTTGCCAACAGTGCGTGACAGAGACGTGACCGATCGCCTGGGCGGCTAGTGAGCCGATCTTTTGGTGAAGAATATAAATGAAAAGAGACGTGACCGATCGCCCAAGCGGCTAACAAGCCAATCAGTGGCGAAGAGGATAAAAGCACTGTACCCCCAAGCTATAGCCTACTAAATAGAATAGTTTAATTTTGTCAGTTTGTGAATCCATTTCATCGTTTACCCATACAGATATCCCTCGCTATATGAACATTAAAGCTATGAAAGTTTGCTTTTGTAAATTGTTTATTCTTACACCTCTTTCTTATTATATGAAAGCTATTCTTGCTTATACGAATACGGTATGGTCTAACGTAATGTACCAAATTTATATTTTCAAAATTTTTTAATGTGTTAGGCTCTAAATTACAGTACAGTAGTTAGGTACTGAATTACAGTAGATAGGTACTAATTTACAGTTCAGTAGTTACATAGGTTTTTTTGTTGTTTGTGATCCTACCAATGTTTCATTTTTAGGTATGTTATTGGGGTTTTCTTGTCATTGGGGAACTGAACCTAATTTTTCCAATATGTTATATTATTCGAGATACAAAAATTTACTTAACGAATGGTTTTCAAGGAACCTAACCCATTTGTAAAGCGAGGAATACCTGTATAGTAGACCCTTGATAACTCAAAATATATGGGGCTCTAACCATTCTCAGGTATCAAATTTTCTTTCTCCTCTTCGTCTCTTTCAGTTTGCATAATAACCCCTTGCCTCCCACCCCAATACCCAACTTTGGGGGTCCAAAAATCTATCATGATCAGAAAAATTGCATAAAAATTAATGCTTAACAGCACTGCAGGCAAAGGATGAGAATAATTCAAGCTTGTGGTGCCATGTGGTAAGTGTCAGAGGTGATGGGGGTCTTGTTGCACTACAGTATATACAGTGCAGTGCTGTGTGTGTTGTAACCACTTACAGCACCAACTGAAGATTAACTTGGTTATATCTTTTCTTAAAGACTCAGGGATTTCAACTTTATTCCCCACCTACTAGGCCTTGGTAATGATGCAGAAGCCATATGTATACTGGTTAAATAGCACTTTGCACAAAAAGTAAAAAAAAAAAACTAAAAAATAAGAAGAGTAACTGTACTGTAGGTGTGACTGTGTATCCTCTCGTGTGGGCGACTGGGCAGAACCTCCCATTTATCCCGTTGGGTACCATGTGTTACGCCATTCCAAGATTGAGTCATCATAACTTGGAATATTGCGAGTTATGTAAAAATAATTTACTGTAGAATATTTTACTGCCATTCTGAGTTACAGACTGACATATGCTCTTTTTTTGGTGAAGTCATGCCATTATGGTATTTATTGCATTGTTCTTATTCTCAGTGTTTGTAAATGAAAAAAAGTAAAAAAAAAAAAGCCATGCTATACAGGTAGTCCCCGACTTACGACTGCCTCAACTTACGTCCATCGGTACTTACGACCTGCTCTGACCTTACGACCATCGGGACATACGACCGCCGCAATCGTGACCATTTTTTTTTTTTTTTTTTTTTTCAAATGCGCATTTTCTATACCGAAACGTTTCCAGTTAATGTAGTCTCCATGTATAATTAGAAAATTATGGGGGCCCCATGTGCATTCAGCTGACTACATTAAAGGTTAAGTGCTCAGTCACACTGTATCCATTCCTCATTATTTATTACTTTTACTGTACTGTATTTCATTGTAGATTTTTTTTTTTTTTTTTTTTATCTGTCGGACTTACGACCATTCGGACTTACGACCTGGATTTGGGTCCCTAACCCCGTCGTAAGTTGGGGAGCACCTGTATATAATTTATAGTATAGTACTGTATATACTGTACAGTACATATATTTATTATGCTGCACTACAGACTTGATTGCAGTGATGTTTGGTGGTTCATTCCATGTGGCACAAATACACATCAATATAACAGGCCTTTATGTTTATAAAAACTTGACAGTACAGTACATAAAAAATATAAAATATAGACACACATAGAATACACCATTGCACGCCTACAGTATATTTGAATGTACAGGTTGTACCTCTCTGGTCCAGCAACCTCGGGATCTGACCGGTGCCGGACCATGGAAATTCACCCTTTTCCTGGATAGATAGTGACTTGTGCTTATGCTTGAAAGCACTAGCACCACTTTCTCTGCATCATGGTCTCTTTTAAGACATATTGAAGGGTTAAATGTCGTATAGTAGCTTCTCAAATTTTGCGAGTTTTTAATTCAACCAACGTATTTTATTGGAACACACACACACAAAAAAAAAAATTTTGATGGCGGAAACTTGAATTTCGACGGGTTTGAACGGCCGCCAACGTGCAGACGACGTGCATAATCGTGTAAACAGCGTCATTTCTCTTATGTACAAAAGATTCATTATTGTTTATTACTGAATGACTTTTTTATTGAATTAATGTTCATGTGTGCAAAATGAGCAATACAATTCATTAATAATACGTAGAATATTAAAACACACGAGGAAATGACACAGCATTGTTTTCGTTGATTACAAAACCAGTGACTGACTGGTTCTACATATAAAACTGAAGAAAATAAGACTTTGGTTGTAGCTGTAGTAAAATTAATATGGTTGCTTTAAGTAATGTTTTTTAATGTTAATAAATGGAACAATAGAAGTAGCTAACGATAATGGTAAGGAAAAAAAGAGAGATCGCGTATGTAAGTGCGCACACGTGAAAATATATCGTCATTACTTTACATAAGAATATGAAAGCAACACTTATTTACTGTTCATATATATTTTAATTAATGTTTCTGAATTTTGTTTTTATTGAATTAATGTTTGTGTGTGCAAAATTAACATTACAATTTATTAATAATATGTGGAATATAAAACACACGAGAAGACGAGATGGCTGCCGGCATTGTTTATGTTAAAGCTTACAAAACCAGTGACTGATTGGTTCTACATATAAAACTGAAGAAAATAAGACCCTGATTGTAGCTGTAGTAAAATTAATGTAAAAAAAATAATATGGTTGTTTGAAGTACCTGTAATGTTATTTAATGTTAATAAATGGAACAATATAAGTAGCTAACCATTAATGGTAAAAAAAAAGTGAGTGCGCGTATGTAAGTGCGCACATGTGAAAACATATCGTCATTACTCTACGTAAGAATATGAAAGCAACACTTATTTACTGCTCATATATATTGAAGGGTTAGATGTTGTAATCTGTATAGACAAGCAGAGAGAGAGAGAGAGAGCAGCCGAACTGCCGGATGTAAACAAACCTTAATTTCCCGCGGCTTTGTTGTTGTTTTTTACGGGGATTAGCCCACCCGGGCATAGGTCACTGACCCACATTGGGGCCTGAGGGGCAAAAATCTAATACTCCTGTAATAATAATAATAATTCAGATAAGTAAAAAAAAAAAAAAAAAAGTTGCCTATCTACCTATTGGACAAACTAAAATCGTTCCGGACCACAGAATGCCGGACTAGAGAGGTACAACCTGTATTTGGGTTATTGCCGCAGATGTTTGGTGGTTCAATCCATGTGACTGGAGGCTCAAGGATAGGAGCAAAGGTAATGCAGTAGTTCTTTGAAGAACTCAAGCATGTTCAATTTTTATCTACTTGTGGTTTACTGTCCTATTTCCTTCACTTCTATCACTAAAAAGTTTTCTTGTTCATAGGTTAAGCGCCAGGGTCCATATCGTGCACGTCGACCAAAGATGGCCCTTCTTCGGGAAGTGTGTGGTCGCAGTCGACCCATACTGTGGATATTTCCCTGTACCAGTGCTCCTGTGAATACTGAAGCTTCGTATAATCTAACTGTTTAAAATTATCATTTGAAGTTGAAAATTTATATTAATAATATAACTTAAAACTTCTTCAATTTAAACATCACATAAATATCAAAAGGTCATTGATGGCAGTATGAATGTTTCTCTAGTGACATATTGTCACTGCCACATGTGATGCTCTTTTTAAAACTACTGTACAGCTGAATGCATAAGTCAGTTTAGTGCCTAACCCTATTGTCTACACTGCATTTATCTCAAGGCTAAACTTTGCAAAAAACAAGGAATTGTTAGTCTGGCAATTTCATGATTTACATCATGACTAAAAAAGGTGTCTAATAGTTTTTATACAATTTTGAATTTGAGATTAGAATTTAAAAGTATGTTATTATACAGTACTTTAAGAAGAATATGTATGAGAGATATATAAATGAATGTTAACTACTATACAGATAGCTTTTGTACAAGATTAGATATTAAGCGGGAAAACCGTATTTCTGAAAGCTTGATATGACACACAGTGTTTAAAGAGGCACTACCATACATCAATACTATGTCTGTTATACTAAGAGGTTATGTCAAGCAAATTAGTACCTATTGATCAATCCATTTATTTACTATGTAGTTGTGGTATCACAGATTATCAATCCCTTCCATGTGATATACCAAATGAAGTTTTTTAGAAATGGTTTATGGTATAAGAAATTAAAGTACTGTACATATTGAGGATAAGAACAAACTCATTACAATCACTTTGTGGATGAAATCTCTCTTGCAGAACAATTAACTTCTAAAAACTGTATGGTCGTATGTGTAGGAATCTAGCTTTTTATAGGAGTCTATTTAGAGAAAGGATCCTCTGAATTGTGATGAGAGGATTGTGAGGGATTTGTCTTGTAAGTCCTTGGTATTTTATTTATAATGTTCACTGAAGTGCTATGGCTCATCAAAATGGCTGAAGAGATGACATTATCATCACAAAAATATTGCTGTTTTTCTTCTTTTTTTTTATTAATAACTTAAAATTTTATGTGAAGTGAAATATGCCATAGATTCTGTGGTTACATCATTTGCAGTAGTATTTATTTTCTTAACAAGTACTGTAGTCACTGAGTCACAGGTAAATACAGTCTGTGAGTAAAGCTTCATTAGATTTTGGAGATTCTGAAGTTGTTAACATTTTTGCAAATCATTTAAATAAAATACAGTTGCATTTAACATATATGTTTCTAGATTAGTATTTTTTCTTCAATTTGATGTTGGGTACAATTTGATTTGATTTAACCTCAAAAAGAAATATTATTTATTTACCCAGTTTGCCTCTTACTAATAGCACTCTGACTTCAGTGAATATTCAAGGGTATTAAAATGCTCATTGTTGTATATAATTTCATTAATTATCACACTTTTTTAACCAATTATGCGGGTTCCTCAGGACAGCATTAGAAATACAATAATAAATATGCAACCAGTACAGTACTGTACATGTATGTGATGATCGTGCAGGTGCTTTAGTAGACAGCATGTTGGAAGTTATACTGTGTAGGTTTTTATCATCTCTAGAGCCCAACTACTGTATTCTTAAAAGTTCAAAATGTCATATAGTAACAATAATCACAACCTTATATGCCATAATTTCATTCTTATGCTGTGGATGCATATTCAGGAATTCTGATTCAATCACCCATAAGGTGGAATGATTCAACTTTGAGAAAAAAATTCTTCAAGTTTCTTTTGAGGTAATGTTGTATACAGTAAACAGAAAAGAAGATTGATATATCATTTGAGAAATTTTTGTATGTGTTGGCATTAAGAAGGTAACACACACACACACCATGCTGAATGCTAGGAACTACTTAGATGGGTACTGTGTAAGGGTTTTTCATGTTAGTGAAGCTGATTTTAATAATAAGATAAGATTTTTATTGTAGGAAATGTCTGTTGAATGCCTTTGCACTTAATAATTTATTACACTTTGAATGAATGGATGGTTTACTAATTGATGTCCAAAATTGCTTTGTCTTTGTTATTTATTTATTAGGATTCCTTGATGCATATTTAATGAATGAACTCTCGATCTACATATCTATACATCTATCGAATGTAAATTTTCGTTTGTATTATGGTTGTTTCAATATTTTATGTGCACCTTAAGTTTCTAATTCATTGAAGTTGATATAGAGTTCTGTACCAGTTTCATAGAGCCCATTCTTGGTAGAGGTCCTTGCTTCACTGAAGGCTGGACTGTGAGCATGGGAAAGTCGAGGGTCCTTCTTCCATAAATTTATTTCAGTTGTAGAAACAGTAAAAGTACATTTGAGTATTTTGAATAAAAAAAAATTAGGCAAATTAGTCATATAGATTTTTTTTTTTTTTTTTTTAAGGATATGAAGAATATCAACAAAATGATGAGTGTTAATCACTATGCAGTAGTACGTTGCTTTACTGGACTTCTGTTGCATAAAAAGTTCTTGAATAGTGGGAATTCCGGTGCATTACTGTATGCTTAAACCTTTGCCACAGTTAGAGGGGTGTTGCCTCTCATCATTGTGTCCTGGGTTCAATTCCTGTCTTGGGACAAATGTGAGAAGGGTGTTATCTAGTGTGACCCGCCCAAACATTACCTTTTTTCACCAAGTCCAGTACTCTGGTTTCCTCATATACTATTGCTGAACAATGAAGGTTGTAACAAAGGAATGGACAATAGACCTTACACCCAAAAGGCTAGTAAGCTGATAAGTGATGAAAATTAAAAGTACAGTCCCCATCTGGACAATAACTTTATATACTGGAACTTTAAGGGATAAATTGGGTATTTTATATGAAATACACCCAAACGGAGTGTTGCAGTAATGTTAAAATGCTCATGAAAATTTAGCATTGATATATAGACTGTACTATATATGTAATTACTGTACAGTACAGTACATTTCAATAAATGGAGCATCTTTATTATGCTAAAATGCATCTCTCACCACTGAGTGAAATGATGAAAAGAATATAGAATAATTTAGAGAAAAATAACATCATAGGTGCATCACACTGGTAACTCACAAAGCTGATAGACCACCTCTCCCATGAGGCAGGCAACCTAGTATGTTAAGGCTCTCCTTGCTGTGTCATACTTTGTCTTCAAGAAGTTTAGTTCAGGGATTCATAGCTGTTAGCAGAATTTCTCCTCCAAAACTCATGTACAGTATTACTTCAACATATCACAAGCCAAGATAATGCAGGTGAACTATAAACACAAAATTTTTATGAAAATAAGCATGTAAATTGTTTCTGTCTAATTTCACCTCATAGAAATGCATTCTTTTTACTGTACAGTACTGTATTCTTGTGCAGTAATATCCTTTTCTATGCAAGATAAATGTAAGAAAATTCTACTTGGTAATTGTGCACCACTAAACTTTTTATATCTACAACTCCAAAAATACCACACTGTAACTGGTCACCTGTTGCCTCACCCCTGGTCTTACATTATATTCGCTAGTCTGTTGTTATTACATTGTTGATTTAATCAGTTGTCCAATCATACATCATACTACTGTACTTTAACATTCAGTGTAATCATCATGAAAAAGACTGAATTTTAATGACTACTGTATACCTTAGCACTCATGGAAATGTGAAATTAGTGTGGATATCAGTGAGTTTAAAGCACTACACTTGAGAACACATGAAAAATACCTAGATGATAACTCCTCCTTAGCATTAAATAAAAGCATCATGTATACTACTGAACTGTTACACTAATCTTCACTGTAGATACAATTCATAAATTATAATTATATTAAATTCAGTTGCTACATTACTATTGCCTTCAGTGAAAGGCGCACCAAATTGTTCATCCTGTCGTAAATAATTTGGTTCTTAATTGTACAATTATAAGTGACAATCAGGTTTAGTCATTGCATTTATTTTAAACTCTGGGATCTTTGATCACAACAAAGTTAGCTGCATTGTTGGCATAACAGTCAAACAAGCCAAAATCCAGGCCATTGATTGAGACATGCATAAAGCATGTCAGTCTTTGTTCTCCAAGGTGGGTGCAAGATTTTGTCCTAATAAGATTATGACAACTGTATCTATGCTTAAAAGATGCAGAATTCAGTGTAATGATCAGTAACAGCCTCATCAGTTTCTCTCCTAAATGATGCCTTTCCTGTACCTTCATATAGTACACAATTTCTGGGGTTGAATACCCAGGTCTCATTACCACAACATATGTGACATGCTAAATTAGATCATCTGGAATAAGTATCTAATTTAGAAAAATTCCGTTATGAAACATTTCCTGATTTAAAGTGATTGTTACCGATTCAAATTCCATATTACTTAATGATATTTCAGGTCTAGTTGCTAATTCATCAACAACTTTTAAGTGTTTATATAGGCAAACTGAGGAAAGGATTTACTGTTGTCTTTTCCTTTCAAGAGCTTATCGCAATCTCCTGAGTTCTGTCTGCCTACACAAAGACTCGAGATTACTAGAATTTTTTGGGTACTCCGAACCTATTCTCTGTTCCCTGGAATTCTTAGCATTTTATAACAGTGAATTTGGAATATGTTACTACAGTGTTGTGAAAATTTCCTTTCTCCTGTCTCTCAAGGGTAAGGATAGTTTTTTGAGCTTTGGGTTCCTAGGAAGGAGGGAGGACTGTAACTTTAGGTTCATTACTTTCATAGCCCAATATCAGTGGGTCTGTAGTTCATACTAATGCAGGAACCTTTTTGTAAGCTCCAGACATGGAAACTTTATGATGCTTTTCATTATTCACTTTGTCAGGTGAAGAGGGTTCATGGTGACTTTGGGGTAACATTACTTGGGACATAGTGTTCTGATTTTACATTACTGTATGTATCTAAGATTTGGGTTTCTAAGTTTCTGTATGTAATGGCTTCAACCCTTTAGCTCCTGGAGGTTTCCCTAAGCTGAATGGAACTGTCTGGCAGTAGCCAGAATAAAATTTTAAAGAATGAAAATTGGTGGGAAAGGGTTAATTTACTTCGGTTTTAACCCTTTGGATCCTGGAAGTTTCCCTAAGCCAAATAAATTGCAAAGGTGCGACAATCAGTGAGAAAGTGTTAAGGGGTTAAAATCTTTGAGACTGACAGTTCCTTTTAAGTATGATCCTGTGAACTCTCGAACATTGCATGTTCGTCACATCATTTGAGAATAGAACAGGCTGGATTTTGACGAGAACTTTCATTTTGGATACCTTAATGGTTCAATATTTAAACAATACATTAACCATATGGAACATGTAAGGGGAGTATTTTTTTTTATAATCTGGTTGATAGTGTAGCATTCTGAAAAGGGCTGCCAACTGCTCCTGCAGGGTTTTTTTTCCCCCTTCAGGTTTTTTGGGGGGTTTTCCCCTTCTCAAGCTCTCTGAGTAACAGGAATTGCTCGAGATGTGATTTGACTATAAATGGGGAGATTTGATCCAGGAATTCCAGTTAATAGCTAATTTCAGATCTAGTGATTCACATATCCCTCAACCACTCAAGGGAATGGTTGAGCAATTGGAAAGTGATGTTGAAAATTATGGTTAACTGGCCTGTAGTCTCTATTTGATGATCATAAAGTGATTCTTTTAATATAGCTTTCAAACTAAACCGGCCCTTTGGGGTCAGGAAGGAATAACTTGCCTTTGAAACTTTTCTGGAGTAGTTAGTTCTTTTACACTTGTTCTAGTGTAGCACCAATCACAAATGTTGGGAGTTCTGAGAGCTGAATTTTCATCCCCAGAGGACTATACTATAACTAGTCACCCAATCTGTGTTAGGCTATAAACTGGGATTCATTTATTTTTCCACACCAAAAAGCAAGGTATCCATTTTTATGGATACCTTGTTAAATGTAAATTAATTACCATTTATCTCTTGTCGTGTAAGATTTAAAGAATCTCGTCACAGACAAGATATTCCATGATAGATCAAGGTACAGTACAGTTGTAAGACCAGCCATGAAACATGAATGAGATAACTTAAGCAGGTTTTTGCTTTTAAATCCAAGATGGAGAGCAAATTGAACCTATTTTTATGATACCCTTCATTTAAAGTAACAGTAGGCATGTTTATTTTGTACATTTGATTATTTATGCATAGTATTCCAAAAAAAAACAACTTTGCATTTGTACTGTACTTATGTTAGCTTAACATGTATTTTCAGGAAGAAAAATTTCAGCATTTAATATGTTTTCTGTCTTACTCTTTACTGAGATTGATTTATATCCTGGAGGAAAAGTACCAGATTATTTTTGTTTGTGTTAACCTTTCTGAGATGGTTGGGAATTTGCAATTTTAAATCTTGTAAATTTTTTCCCAGTCTCATACTTGCCCCCTCTGCATTTTTGGCATTTGCAAACTTTGTCAATCTCTTGCCTGTATTTTTTGCCATGTTATCACTGTCAAGGTTGTGGATTTGAAATTTAGTCTTTTGTCTTGTATATCCAATGTTAGTCTTAGGTTTTTAATGAATGTGCTATTAGTGATGTGTGTTTCAGTCATAAACATCAGTCAGTCAACCAATATTACCTTGATAAATTAATTATAAATGTTCATTATACATTTGTCTATGTTAATGATTTTATTCACTAAATGTTTCTTTCAGTATGGGAAACTTGTAGATAGAGTTCAAGCTACTAATATTATTGTGTGACGCCATCTCCCAGGTATGTATATCAGTCTCAGAGTAATGCCAACTCTTACTCATTTACTTAAATTTGTGCAACAAAATCATATTTCATAAAATTCTCAGATTTACTCATAAAATTTTCTAATAGTAGTGAGCTTTTGTAAAATCACTATGTTGTTTGAATGTGATATTCTCATTTCAGTATACAGTACTGTACTGTACTCTCCTAATATTTACCAGAGTTTCTGCTTAAAGCCAAGGATATTTGGATTTTCTATGATAGCCTTAAGCATTGTAATAAATCCTCACATTATCTCTCTTAAAATTCTGAAAGATTTATATAAAGCTTGGTACTGTTAGTTACATAAGAATACAGAATTTATTTTTAATACCTGCTGTCAAACACCATTTAATAACTAGTCAGATATACAATTGCTTTGGTATACAGTATTGTTCAACTAAACTGTACCCAGGTTATTTACCTTAACCTGTACAATTACAGAAGCTACAGTTAGCCTACCTCAGAATGGTTCTGTATTTATTTTCCCTGTTTGTAGTTGGACTCCACAGTGTTAAAAGGTTTTCCAAAGGAAAGGCCTATTGTCATTAAGACTGACAGATCTCCCCCCATTTTGCCCTGAGTTACGTCAAGTAATATTTTCTTTGGGAGCTTATTTACAACCCGCCATGCAGTTACCTAATATTTTCTGCAGAAAGAGTAAGGCCAGCTGGCAGTTCCTTTGTTTAATGGTGTTGGTAAATTTGGATGCTCTAAAATGGTTCCATAAAACTTCCAAACTGGTTTTCTTCCAATGCATAAAATAACATTTTTAACACAAAGTAACTCAGGGATGCTTTTAAAGTGGTGCTCCATCCAGAATGATAATTCTTCTGTCAAGGATACTGAAAGAAGATAATGACATTCCAAGATGGGTTGACAGTCAGTAATAGGATTCTAGGTCTGCATCACACATCAACAAAAAATAAGTGTCTGGTGCTTCCGTTAATTTCAGTTTTTGGAATCTCTTCAAAGGTCCCAAGATTTTCATGGTTGATAACAGGGTAAAGGGGGGATTTTTATGGGATTTGTAAGTCAAAACACCCCACAGATCTTAGGGTATGTCTCCTGTTGACAGTGTTTAATAACATTTTATTTTTATTCCCCACTCAAAGTGTATTGAAAAGAGATTCTCAACACATACCAGTCTTTAAAGAGTTGTAAATCTAATTACCTTTACTTTTTAAATTTTCATGGATTTCAAATAGTTAAGGTTAGAGCTTAGTCATTATATTCTATCCCAGTAAAATTAAATAATCTAATAGGGAACCACTTATTGTGCTGTGTGTGTGTAGTCTAAATCAAAAGGTAATCTCATTAGTGTAAGTCTAAGGTGGGGTTAAGTATTCAAATTTTCATCTCCATATAGGAACTATATTGGTGCTGTAGATAAAACAGTCCTGAAGTGCTTTAAACTGGAGGTGGGAGTCATATCATTTTACCCAATTATATTTTAGTGAGTTTTTAGTACTGCATTAAAGACTGGTCATATGCAAGATTCTGATCCAGATTCCATTTTTAACCACTGGCAAATTAATAGACTGAGTTCTTACCCACATCCCAGGTAAAGGTGTAAGATGAACCACTCAGAGGGTGAGTGAACAAAGAAAACAGAGGATTGATCCAATTGTGTTATCTTAGTCTTGTGATTCATAATTCTTAACATCAACACGTATTTCCTTTATATATATATATATATATATATATATATATATATATATATATATATATATATATATATATATATATATATATATATATATATATATATATATATATATATATATATATATATATATATAACTAGAGTAGCTGGGAGATGAAATGATTACTATCATACCGAGGAAGTCTAAATGCATGATTAAAGAGGTTACTGTGGATAATCTGGTACAGTTCAGAAGAACAATATCCATGACCACTTGCTACTGGTCATAAAATGGGATTACAGGATCAATCTGCCATTTATACTGAAGTTCAATCTTTATAGAACAAATCCTCTTGTAATATATCCACTGTTGATAGCAGTGATAGTGTTTACTGTCCTAATATTAATATCAAACCTTTATTGCTGCAAAAACTGCTATTGCTACAGTAGTGTGTAAATACGAACAATATGAATATTATTGCACTATTGCATTTCTCTGGTAAACTGATCATTCTTATACTGTATGTTCATTTTAGATGTTTAGAATTTTTCAGGTATATATATTTTTCTCATTAATAAAAAGGAATATAGGTTTTATTAGTTCTTGTACATGTTATTAATATAATTATGTTAACCTTATTGCAATGAATGTTTAATAAGATTGATTTTTTTTATGTCCTAATCCTTGTGACTGTAAAAGCTTTGGAGTATCAATGACATTTTCATATCACTTGCTGAACTACAAATTCTTATATTTGTTGGGATTTAAGCACCGATAATAATATGTGATGATTTTGGGATGAAAACAATACAACTAACCAAAATATAATAAAGCTTATGTATAACATGATCGTTTTTGGAAGGGGAAATTTAGAGAATTGCCACATCATTTGTATCCTCAATAGTCATCACTCTTTGCCATTGTCAAACACTCCAAGCCACAAGAGGTATTACCATGTTTTGACATGGTAGACACTAGTAAACCATATAATTGCTAGGTACTGTACTGCATTAAGATGCTAATGGCTATTGCCCATCACAAGGCAAATTTTGAATTATAGTCATGAGTTGTGGGTTATAAACATAGGTTTAACCCTTCACCATCACAGACTCTGCATATTGATGAATTAATTAGCCTTCCCCATCACAGTGAAGTCACTAAATACCCTTTAGATCTTTAGAATCATTAGTTTTGCATTTAAAGTTGGAAGCAATTAGTTGTGAATGCCACATCAGCAGACACAAAGTGTATAAGTTGTTGGGTATTGAATTCTTCAGTTCTAGTCTTTGCTTCACACTGGTTGACTATCCAATACCTGGATCTCCCTCACCCTTTACATTGTACTGCAAAGGTAGTACAGGTTGGACCTCACTAATCCGGGAAGCTTGGGACCAGACTGGTTCCAGATTAGTGAAAGTTCAGAATCATTAAAGCCGAGGTTAAAGGGGGCAAAATAACGCATAAAATGTATTATTACTGTCTAATTACTTCAGTGTAGACATCTTTTCTAAAATAGTTAATGTCACATGCTTACATTTTGCGGCATTACAACTACTTCCACTGCTTGCTGGTCTCTTAGGAAGCATATTTAGGGGTAAATTATAAGTATTTAAAGGTAAAATAGTGGCAACAGTCACTAGAAGTGAGCTATAACACCGTCCCGAACCATCGAAGCTGTTGGACTATCGGGTCCTGGATTATCAGAGTCCATCCTGTATTGTACTGTATAGGCATAGATTTGTAAACAACGTAACTAGTACCTAGCTAGCACGTCAGTTTATAGAGCTGACATCACTCACCCTCAGTCAAAGGGATATCCAATTTCACCTGTGAGTAATCCAGTGAATTTCGTTAATTGATTTGTTGTTTCTGGACTGGCTGGGGGGGTCTATACAGTACTGTACTGGAATAGCATTACAGGAAGTGCTGGTTTGGAAGAGGATGAGGGAGACACTGTATTTATTGTCTCAGCATTGTACATGACAGCATATTTTGTGGGCTATTGTGTACTTTCACATGTTCTAATATTGAAAAGAGGAAAAACCTTTTAGTGAGCCTGTTAACTGGCTGAGTTGGTTTGGGTTACGGTATTTTTCAGTGAGAAGCAATTAGCTTGTAGCCCATTTCCTTCAATGTTTTCAGTCCTGACCTTGGCCTATTTTTACATCATCTCCAGCCTAAAGCAAAGCACTATGTACAAATGGCCTAGGAAATTATGTCACTGTTTTCAGTATGATTCGTCCAAACAGCGGTATCAGGCAACTGCATCTTAAAGGTAGTGGGGTTATTACTCCATTGTAGGAAGATGATATAACAAACTCCTGAGACGAATTTTTCACTGCATAACCTTTTTCTGGCATTCCCTAATATTTTTGTGGGTAAAAAGACTTCCAGATAAGTAGTAAGTGAGCTACAGTATATATTCCAATCTCATGGTTTAAAGACGAAAATGTGTGCATGAAAAAAGGAACAACCATCCCAAAATAATGCAGCAACACAAGCTGATAACACTTCTATGGCTCATTTCTTTGTTTACAAATTGTTTTAATGTTAGAACAATATGAAATGTGTTCGTTGCACAAAAATAATTATTAATTGAATAAGCATTCATAGAAGTTACCAATTTAGACTTTTTTCCAAAGTTATGTTTTATATCTTATTCCTTGGTGCTAAAAACTACAGTAGCTTCAAGCATAAATGGCAATTAATTTTCTTTCAAATACAGTACGTATGTACTCGGGAAAAACAGTAACAATAAGTGTTTATGTAAGCACACAACCTATCTCAAGCTCAAAGCCTTATTTTACGAATGTTTTCCTGCATTACGTCGTCGTCCATTGAGGCAGTGAATATGGAAAATATTTGTTTACATATCCTGTAAAGTGACAGCATAACTGTGGTGAGTATGAATATTAGATAAATTCATATTTTTTATTCGATAATCATTTCAGCTTAACACAATTAAAGGTCAGTACAGTATATACTGTACAGGGTATACCTATTCATTTTGACATCCAATTTTATTTCCATAAATTATTCCTGAATGTTTCTGAGTGATAATCTGGTATGTCATATTATTTCTTTTTACTTTACTTTATTTTTACTTTACTTTTATCCACTTCGCCACTGATCAGCTCGCTAGCTGCTTGGGCGGTTGGTCACGTCTCTGTTACTCACTGCTGGCAAGTACTGGGCACTTGAGAAAACTGTAGTGTATTCTAAAAGTGTAACTACAGTACGTGATTTAGTCTTACAATATTCTTAGGAAAACTTTTTTTTATTATTAATTTCTGCTACTATTTGACATGGTGACAATTTATTTGAGCGATTTTATTGTACACAGTACTGTACATATGTAAATATGGGGATTATTAATGGTATGCAATTTGAAAATACTGTAGACATCAAGAAAAGCACGTGTAGATTGGCTTGTTTGGTTACTCCTTGCTTAAAATGCACATTGTAGTTTTCTTTCCGTTCAAGTAGAATAAAATAATTACCTGATATGTTAATTTAACCCTTAAGTTGTCGCAAGATAGTATAATTAAATGACATGCTAACACTGGCAAAAAAAAATCTTGCAGAAATCAACTCAGAATGGTAAAAAACTTATGTAAAACAAAAAATCTGCTTGCTGAGATCTGGCAATTCATATAAATAAAGGATCCTCTTTTGTGACCTTGGTCCATCACAACACATAGCTGTATATTGTGGTGATCACAGCGACACATGTTATTATCGTATATTGTATCACAAAATCTACGTAATTGTTATTGTTAAGATATGGCAAGCAATGACGCATGTAATCAGCCAGTCAGTGATGTAAAGTACGAGAATTGAGGCGTGCTTGAGTACATATGGGTGTGTAAAATTCTCTACTCTATAATGATTTTCCACATATTGTTGTTGTCAATGATTGAATATTATTGTAATTTATCACATTCCCCAATCAATAACACCTAATGGAGAAACATATACTGTACTCAAGTGTTTTGTAGGTGTTTGTGGGCATTTGTATGATAATTATAACACATTGTGGGGTTTTGAGATATTGTTTCACACTCAGGATGGGTTGGAGAAAGGAAATTCACAATGTGCTCTCTCTATACATATTGTATTGGATGTACAATGCAGCTTGGTGCTGGGGAGTGGCAGCGTGGGTCCAAGCGTGGTGTAGAGAGAGCTGGTTGGTGAGGGTGCTCAGAGGAGGACATGCAGCTTGAGGGGCGCCATGGTCGCCGGCTGGAGCGAGGGCCACCAGACAGGAGCGGAGGTGTTGCTTGCTGGTGGCTGTAGGTAGAAGAAAGAGGTAGGTCACGGCCACGTGAGGTCTTATATAGCGGGGGTAGGCGTGGCTTGATAGTTGACCTCTGCTTTGTTAGGCGGCGCTGGTTACCGACCTAGACCACATGGCGTATGCTGGGGAATTCGAAGAGGGTCGGCTATTCAGCGACAAACGGCGGTTGTAGGGGAGAAATCCACTACAACATTACATTTATCAGTTGTATTATCTGTACAGGTATTTTATTCGTCGTTCCCTTATACTTTTTCACTCTTTCAAGGAAACTTCGTACTAGATGATTATACGCAGTAATGAATTTTGAACTGCACATTCACTTGTACTGTACAGTACTGAAAATGCAATTATATTTCCGAACATGCCAGCCGATTATTTTTCATTATACAGTACAGTATATATATGAGGCGCTCCTCACTAAAAGGGGGTGAAGCGCCAAATTAAAAAAGCTGAGGAAAACGTGTTTAAAGTTTTTCAAAGTTCAAACAACCATAACTTTGTTATTTTTCAAGCTAGAAGGTTCATTTTTTTATCGTGCAGCTTAATCCCTCTCTTAGGGATCTGTGAAAATTGGAAGTTAGAACTGTGAATAGTAATTATTTCATCGCGAGTTGAATGAGAATAACTACCCGTGATGTACAGTTGTTTGATCTTCAAACCAACAATAATCATGTTTTCTGCAAAATTCTCTTATTATTGTGGGCTAATACTGTAAAACAAGTTAATGGTCACCAAAAACAACACTCGTCTTACACCCCCCAAAAAAAATAATAATAATAAAAACTCATTTACCTATCAGTATTTATCTTTCTGTCCCTATTATTATCCCAAGATTTATAATATTGTTTAGTATAATAGTGTGTAATAATAAAGAAACGCCACTACACTCGCCCCCTTCCCCCCTCAACGTAATTAACATACGAATACAATGGTGGAGAAAGTTTGCATAGTCTTGGGTAAAAACAGTGTTGTGATAAAAGTATTACAATATTACTTTATTTAGTTCCTTCGTTTTATTATCCCTGAAGATCGTGGTAACTTGAAGTTACGTAAATCCTGTGACGTGCCTATAACTTTAATGGCCTCGTCATAATCAACCACACACTGATCAAAATCTTTCTCTGCAATCTCTAAAAATCGCCACACAGATTCTTCATCAACTAAATCATTGATTATTGATGCCGGCAACAGTTCTATTTCATTATAAGACTTGAGTTATGGGCTTACTTTCACTAGCATTCGTTGGGTCAGTGCGAGCAGGAAGCTGCTCCTTACAGCATCACTCAAGGGGAGGACTGACCCTCACAGCATCACTTGAGTGAGCGGTCTCCTGAAGTCCAGGCAGCCACGCTACCCTTTTAAGCCATTCATTTAGCGGAATCAGGACCTCTTCTCTGTAAACACCGCCCACCCCCCAATCTTTGTTCGGGTAGGACAGCAAACGCCAGCACTCGCACGCCAATACTCACTCGTCAATATTGACACCAGTGGTGATACCACTCCCGGGGTGCCAGGCGTCAACACTGCTTGGCGCATCTGGCGAGGTCACAGGTCGCGTGGAGGGGGGGGGGGCATCACTCGAGAGGGCGATCTGTGTCTTGAGAGCCACGTCACCCTTTACATTCAGCAGAATCAGGAACTCTTTATCCGTAAACACCCCCCCCCCCCACCCCTTCCCCAGCTGCCACATCTCACGAGGCAACAGGCCGTGTGGGGGGAGGGGGGGCGGTGAGAGATCCAATGATTGTTCGAGGTGGGCAGCGATTGTCAACAACTGACACCAGCATTTATAAGCCAGCAGCGATAACATAGAGGAAGGGTGAAAATAATGATATCCATCAAAAAACGCATTTTGGCCGAGGTGTCGCTTCACCCCCTTCTAATGCTGAGCGCCTCATATACTGTATCCTGCTTGCATCCAGGACTTCCTCAATTCCTACCTTGAGTACTGTATTATCAGCTTGCAGTCAGGGATGTCATGGTTGTATGCCACTCTTTGTCACCTGGTTCTCAGTAAATACTTTACTTAAGAAAGCAGTGTCATTATCACTCTTCTTTTTATTGACATGATAATTATCATGATATACATACAGTATCTATATCTTATTTATATGAATATACTAGCAGAAACGCAGGGCGACTCATCCGCTAGGCAACGGTAGGACACCACCCTCCGGGAGGCTCCACATTGTCTCCCTGTTCAGTCCCCAAAACTTCTTCCATCAATAGTTCATTAACGGTGTATGTAAGTTCCACAATGTTTTTCACTACAACGGTACAGCAAAGTATATTTTTTTAGCATTAAACTGTTATTATTTTATTGTCTAATCATCACTACATATAACACCACCCATCATCACTACATATAACATCATCCATCATCACTACAAATAACACCATCCATCATCACTACATATAACACCACCCATCATCACTACATATAACAACATCCATCATCACTACATAACACCACCCATCATCACTACATATAACATCCATCATCACTACATATAACATCATCATCCATCATCACTACATATAACATCATTCATCATCACTACATATAACACCATCTATCATCACTACATAACACCACCCATCATCACTACATATAACATCCATCATCACTTTGCCTGCCACCACCCATCATCACTACATAACAACATCCATCATCACTGTAACACCGCAACATCATCTTTCATAACAACATCCATCCATCACTACATATAACATCATCATCCATCCACCACTACATATCTTCATCATCACTACACCAACACCACCCATCATCACTACGTACCGCATCATCCATCACTACATAACACCGCATCATCACTGCATCTAACAACATCCATCAGCATCACTACGCCTTTACCATCATCACTACATGCCGCGCTATCATCACTCCCGCCTAACGCTCATCATCCATCACCACTACATATAACACCATCCATCATCACTACATATAACACCATCCATCATCACTACATATAACACCATCTATCATCACTGCACTTTGCCCATCATCTATACTATAACATCCATCGTATACATTTACCACCCATCATCGCACCACGCCTGTATCGCCGCCCACCGCTCCCATCGTCGCCACGCCTGACATCCGTCATCGCAACATCATCATCCATCAATCACTACATACAACAAGCATCCATCATCACTACATAACACCACCCATCATCACCATATAACATCCATCATCACTACATATAACATCATCATCCATCATCACTACATATAACATCATTCATCATCACTACATATAACACCATCTATCATCACTACATAACACCACCCATCATCACTACATATAACAATATCCATCATCACTACATAACACCACCCATCATCACTACATATAACATCCATCATCACTACATATAACATCATCATCCATCATCACTACATATAACAACATCCATCATCACTACATATAACATCATCACCCATCATCACTACATATAACATCATTCATCATCACTACATATAACACCATCCATCATCACTACATATAACATCCATCATCACTACATATAACATCATCATCCATCATCACTACATATAACAACATCCATCATCACTACATATAACATCATCACCCATCATCACTACATATAACATCATTCATCATCACTACATATAACACCATCCATCATCACTACAGATCGGTAAAGTAGTTCCCAGATTCTCGTGAGGACACACAGACATACTTCTTTGTTATATATATATGTCATATGAATGTTATTTTACGTTGGCATATATTGTAACTTGGAATGTTTGGGGGTTTTGCAGTAAATTCATTTTAGTTGACATATTTTCATGTCGTGGGTGCCTGCACAATATAGTGACAAGTTTGGTAATCATTCTTTTGTGCATGTACTATTAAATATGGATTTACTAACGAAAGTGAAAACCGGACGCGGAACTATGAGTAAGGTGGAGGTTCAGTGTAATGTGGCCACACCTGAAGGAGGTGCCATCACCGCTCCCCACCTGTTGAGGTCCTCACCTGCCACTCACCTCTCATCTGTACCTGAACCATCATCATCACCTGGAATTATTTATATTTTGTAGTCGTAGAATGCATTATGATAAGCCTATAAGCCTATACATCAAGTTATTGAATACCCTATACCTCAACAAATGCTGTAGTGTGCTGCCATCTATAGAGGATCAAGGTGTGTTAGTTTTCCATGTTTATTAATTTTGTTTGACACCCTTTTTATTTGTGTAGTGAACGCTGGTCTGTGAAGCAGGATTAGTTTCATCGGGAAATAGGGAATTAATAAACAGATACATTAACAAAGTTGAAAGTTGATATAAGAGGTGAACAATACATTAAATACTGGTTGTTCTAAGCCCTCACTCGACCAGGACTTCTCTCAGCACTTTAAAGTCTTAAAATTTCTCGACTAATAAACAGGTAATATCTTCTGAAACTCTTATATATGTATATAGGTATATAAGCAACGTTTTAAATGCATTTATCATTATTTAAGTTTCACGGAGAATGGTTAATACTTAATATCAGAGAAATAAGAAACATGACGATGTGTTTGTGTGGGAAGTAGAGAGCTCGACTCCACCACCCGTAGTGACCCAATGTACAGTAATTCAATATTTTATACGCACATTATTTGTTGTGTGTACAAGTAGCGGAAGTTGTCAGGATTTCAAAATTAATGGCAACTTCATATTTGTTATTGTTTTGAGTGTTATAGTGGTCGCCTCCCCACTCTCACTATTCTATCCTCTTGGCCACTGATGGCTGCTGGCGGTAGGTTACGTCTCTGGTACTCAAGTACTGGCTCCAGACCACAATGTATCTGTACTGGCGCCAGTATTGGTCAAGCTCATACTTGTTGCCGTCACAACATTCCCTGACTGACTGTTCTAAGAGATCAAAACTCTCTCCAAAAAAATTTGCCTTGACAATTTTATGATCTTTTGGCTTCTTTAACATGAGGCTGGGACCTCTTGTGGGGCGAGAATAGGCCAATTCCAGTTATGAGCACTCAACTGTGTAATTTCCTCTTAAGGTGCTTATAGACGTCTGTTGTCACCTCTTGCCCTTCTATTATATATGCAAGGCAACTGCAGGTTTTCTAACCTCTCAGGGTACCTGAGGTGCTGGCTCATATCACAACTTTGTAAGTATTCCAAGTGATTAGTAGTTAAAAAAGAAGGCACTTTATATTCAGACAATCTTGAGGCAGAAATATGCCTAAATCACCAGCTCATGATGTCCATTTGCGTGGACATGATGCTGCTCCAGTCTCAACATTTTGTTCATCAATCTTGGCCTTAAATCCTTAAATTGTGGACATGGAACAATTGTGTGATCAGTGTATGCACAAAATATAGGTTTTTATCAAATATTATTATTATTTTTTAAATTTCTTATGACATTATAGGCAAGCATGCAGAATAGCCATATGCATTTAAATATTTCGGTGGGAAACGAGAGTGTCTATTGACTTTGGCTACAATTGCCTTCATCAGTCGTAATGGACGTTAAAGTGGAATGTCCGATTCTGTGTCTTCCGCACCATATCAAACCTCGGTTAAAATTCGTATAATGACAGCAGCAAGATTATTATATATGGATATTTAAGGATTATTAGGTTAGGTACATTAGGTTTGGTTAGGTTAGGTTAGGTTTCAACAGTGATTTGGAAGTTGAAATTGTTATTCTCATAACAAAAAGGAGCCACAGCCATTAAACGAATATTTATCCTAACCTTTTCAAGTAAAGTGAGTGTTATAGATTCTAATTTTGCCACTACTGCAGCCAAGCTGTTCCAGGTGGTTTACATAAAAACATAAGAGTGGAGGAAACTGCAACAGGCCTATTGGCCCATACTGGGCAGTCCCATTTACACCCAACCCGCTATCGCTCATATATCCATCCAACGTATGTTTGAAGCTTTCCAGAGTGTTTGAGTTAATGATGATATTTGGTAACTTGTTCCAGTCGTCCACTACTCTATTTCCAAACCAATGTTTACCTATTTCGTGCCTAAATATAAATTTGTCTAATTTAAAGCCATTGTTACAAGTTCACTCCTGTTTGGATAGTTTGAGTACCTTTGTTATATCATCTGTTTAGCCCTGACTTCCATTTATACACCTCGATCATATTGCTCCTCACTCTACGTCTCTCGAGGGAGTACGAATTAAGATGCAGTATTTCCTTAAGTTTAATCTGAATATTATTATTTTTTAAATCTTTTTATCGCGTCCTGAAGAAGTTGAGTTGACTCTTCAAATATATTGTTACATGTTTCTCTCTCATATACCTGGTATACTACCCATGATCTTGGAGCATTCACATCTCTTCATAAGTTACTGATAGTTTTTTAGTGATGGTACCATTCTTTTGGATTGTCCTTGGATATTCTCAGCATCTTTTACAGTATACATCATGCTTGTTTTGCATATTCAGTAGTGTTTGCATTTGGATCTGAGACATGTAAAGGCATTTAATCATAACCTTATCCAAATGCTCGAAAGTTCTCCTTGTTAAACCCATATATAATTTTGTTAGCTAAAATTATCATACTTATAATGCCAAAATCTATCTCTGAGTTATATTTTTCCCTTAATTGTCACAGCTGATTATCTGTTGCTGTTCTCTCACATTAGATATATCATGCCAGGCTACATTTTTACTGTACAGTGTTTACATTTTTCAGGAGGACCATAATTTCAACTTCATATCCTCATACAGTCTATGAAAATCCATAAAATTAGTTTTACATCTGAATAATTAGTTTTCTCCACATACTGTACTGTACATGGATACCTCACTGGTTTTTATTTAAGTGCTTCCCCATCTGGAGTACTGTCACCCCATCTGGTCCCCGAGATATGCTAGGGACTGTCTGAAAATGAGGAGGGCCAAGCTGGTGCCTCCATCTCAGCTACCCTGCGAGATTGGAGCGCCTGAACTTGCCTAGCTTATACTACAGACGGGCAAGGGGGGACCTAGTTGAGGTTTATAAGCATCTCAGGGGGCACTACTCAGTTAGTCCTTACTTTGGCGGACGCTCGCCCCACAAGGGGTCACAGCTCAAGATTGAAGAAGCCGCAAGTGTGAGGGCAAACTTTTTCGGAGTGAGGGTTGTAAACTCTTGGAACAATCTACCTGACGGCACCAGCTCTTTGGACTTGACCAACACTGGAGCGGGTTCAGGTACATTCAGGAGCCGGTGCATGCCCAGTATTTGCCAACAGTGCGTGATATCTGGAAGTGGATTTAACAACTGTATAGTAAAAAAAATACTGCATAAACAACAGTGATAGACCTAGAACTGATACTTGGGGTAGCCTTTTGTCACCCCTTTTTTTCTGTTCTCCAAAAAAGCTTTAATCCATTTTATATAGTCTTGACCAGTGTTACATGATTTTAATTTTTGGAGCAGTCTTGTGTGTGTGGGGCCTATCAAAGGCCTTCATTAGGTCATAATATGCAACTTACACAGCATATCCATCTTCCAATACTTCATTCCAACTATCTAAAGCTGTGGATCTAACAGGTGTGAAGCCATACTGTAACTTACTTTTTTTTTTAGGTGGTCCATAATATCTTCCCTTATTAGAGATTCCATTACTGTATTTTCAAATGACATAAATAAGTCAAACTTATTGGTTTATATTTTCCTTGATTAGCTTCTCTCTCTCTTTCTCTCTCTTTAAATTGCTGTTATCTGTGCATTTTTCACTCCTCTGGGATAACTCCTTCCTCAAAGTAGCACAGTACTGGACTAAAAAATAGATGGTACTGTACAGAAGCCACTTGATGAGAGTGGTCTGACCTTAGCACCAACTTGAGGAATTTTCTCCAGAGAAGATGAAACCTTTCTTACCATGAGAAACACAGGGTAATAAGCAAGAAGAATGGGTTTTGCATAATTTCACTATTACAATTTTTTACTTTTTCCATTTTGGGAGGAGCTGCCATTTATTTTCTGTAATTGAATGTCGGTTCTTTCCTGGATTTAATTTTTAGATACAGCTACATTATATAATTCATCGTTAATAAAATGAAGAAAACTTCACCTACCCTAACATACTACCGTTATTATTTTCTGCTTTATTCTTTTAAAATAAAATACCATTTTTTTATACAGCTGCATTTGATAATTTATCATTCATAAAATAAAGAATACTAACCTACCAAACCAAACCTAACCAAACCTTACCTAACCTAGCCTAACCTAACCAAACCAAGAAACCTATCTAACCCTACCTAACATCCTAGCCGGGGGCTCTGCACCCGGCGTATTAAGCAGAAAGAACTTACCGTATTTTGCCGCATATAAGATGCATCTCCGCAAAGGACGCATCCTAAATTTAGCATGTAATATGTTGGAAAAATAAAAGTGAGGGGAATTTTCATGTTAAAAAAAAATTTATTGCCACTTTATTTGTAAAAAGAAAACATTCATACCAAAACATGCCAGTGTGTAGTATCGTAACTTTACCAAAACAAAACAAAAATGGCTGCCGGGTGGATAGACCATTGTTCCGTTGTTTGTTGAGCATTAGCCGGTAATTGAAGCATTTCGTGCCTCAATGAAGGTTTGTTTTATTTTATAAGGCAGTTACACGTTTATACAAGAAATATAACACTGGTTATTGCTGGGAAATCTGTAAACATCTATGACAACGAGTGGTTTGCCTGACCACTGTCAGTAGTTTCTAGAATTATCGCAGTCAGTTACTGAATATTCCTTGTTTATTTATTATTGTTTTAATTGTTCTCTTTGTTAAATGGAATTATTCTTGTAATACACGTATACCATATATATTCATTCTGAAGTTGTTTGGATTCTTATACTAGGGGGATACCGAGATCCCAAGCTGGACCCCAATCCTGACCTTCACCATAATGGACGCAGGGTGATTTTGAGGGTAAAATTTTGAAGGAAAAAAGCGTGTCCTATATACCACAAAATACGGTACTCTCATATATGGTACCAGTGAAAGCAACTTTCTTGAAACAACATGGTGTAATATTATGTTTTTTGTAGCTTTGAGAGTATGATTGATTATTGCGCTGCAACAAACAAACTATCAGCGGATGACAACACGCGCCGACACGGCAGATTTGTCAGCAGAATATTTACGATAAATACAGTACAGTGATTTCTGCTATAACGCGTGTTTTGATAACGTGAATTTGCTCTAACGCGATTTATGAATTAGGAACGATATTTGTATAACGCGAACGCTTGTTTGCTATAACGCGATTTTTGCTTACTATTTCTCCAATTTTGTGGTACAATGGGGGTATGCTATAACGAATCTAATTGGTTCTAGAACCTTGTTCGTTATAGCATTCGTTCGTTATAGGATTAATCCGTTCCAGGCCCCCAAATACAACACAACATGGTGTAATCATTAATATGTTTAATAAAT